GCGAAAATCAGAAAATCAGAAAATCAGAAAATCACTTTTCGCTTCTCGGATTTGTCCGCTAGCCCGCTAATGGCCTCAGTACTCTCGACCCAGAATAGCGGACGCTTGGCTGAACATACAAGTTGCATCAACGACACACATTCCTCGGAAACGCCCTCGCAATCAACGGCTGCGGGAAGACCCCGGCCCCAAGCAACTTAAACAAATCCCACTCATCCGCACCCCCTTCTGTCTTGAAGTTCCAAAAGATCCACCCTTGAGTCTTGGCCTCATAGCTATCCATCTGCGCCTCAATATACATGCGGTAATCATTCTTCATCGCCTGGCTCCACGTCCTCACATCGCCTCTCCCCGCACAAGAACCTATGTGCCAAGATCCCGGGAACGAGCCATCGAAACGGTGGCCGGTGAAGCGGCCGTTGACCCACGGTGCGCAGTCGGTAAGAGCGGCGGACCATTCGCCGACTACCTGCAATTTGTCGGTGTCTGCGAAGGCTTTTGTGGAGAAGCAGACTTGAGATCGGTGTTGAGCTAGTGACATGCTGTTTAAATACGAATCGAAGATTTGGTATTCGTGGTGATCGAGAATTACAGTATAGGCTGCTGGCCAAGATAAGAAACCGTTCCAGTACGCAGGGTCCCAGAAACCGTCGTGAAGCAGAACTGGAGTGTCGGAGACGCGGCGGATGAGGTTGTGGCCTGAAGTGTAGAAGTTGCGGACTGTGTTTGGATCGAGACTTGAGAGGAGTGGCTCATTGAGGAGCTTGATGGCGACTACGACATCTTGATATTGCGGCTTCGCATACTTGGAGATCGACGTCAAGACTTGCAGTGTCCAGGCGACGGATTGAGCGTCTCCCCATCCAGGTCGAGGGAGTGTGTGGCCCGAATGTTCCCAGCCGTTTTGGGACTTCGGTGCCCCGTGGAGATCGATGATTATTTTGAGGCCTGTCTGGCGGGCCTAGGTGATCGCATTGTCCATCTAGGGAGCCGATCCTTGCACGTATTGACTACCAAAGTCAGCGTATGCCTAATATCTGATTGGGATGCGGACGACATTGAAGCCGGCTTTTTGGATTTTCTGGAAATCTGCAAGTGTAACCCATGTATTCCAATGATTCTTCAGCCGCTTCAGAGCTTCGACCTTGCCAAGTGTTTGAGTGAAGGTTCATTCATCGATCACAGAGGGACCGGCAGCAGTGTACAGTGAGGGTGTGATCCACCTGCGGAATGTTAGCAGTTTATCATTTCGTTTAGGGGCACCACCTGCCCCTCCAGAACAAGCCATCCTCCCAGACTCACTCCTTTTACCTTCTGCGATCCCCAAGCAAACGACACACCACGTGATTCAATTTGGCTGGTCAAATTCAGTAATCCATTGTTTTCCCAGAAAAAAATAGGCACGACTCACCTCGACTCCGGCTGAGGAAGAGCGACAACCACAGCCACAACGCTGAACAGAAGTTGAAGCAGCTTCATTGTCCGAAAGAGTGAGGACCGAAACGCTCAAAGATCTGTAGGTTTGGATACGCGTCTTCCATTATGTACCAAAATGCCAAGGCCCATTTCCACTTCCGAGATTGGGGATGAACCTGAGTGACACATTGCAAAACCTTGCCCAATGATGCACTTTGTCCAGAAAAAACTCAGAATTAGAATGAGCATTTTCGCGATCGGTAATTCCCATGAAGCATTGTGGATCACGAACTATCGGCGGCACAACTCAGCCACATTTGCAATGCCGTCTTGAATTCGCCCAAATGCTCCACTCTGTGGAGTGTCCCGAAAAAGAAAGTCTAGCAACGAGGGGTCCAAGCGGCTGAAGGAATCGGGAAAAGGAAGCATACCCTTAAGCAGTGTAGGCAATAGTCTAATGTTAGTCCAGTCGGACCGCAGTTTGACTGGACTAGTGTAGTCTCAGGGGGTCGTGGTCCAGTCTAGTTTACTTGATCCGGACTGTGGTTTAGTACCCTGGACTGCGGTCCGGACCGCATTTTAATCTCAGTCTCGAGGAAGCAGACTCGCTTAATTTATAAGGGAATTATTTCTAATATACTATTTATTAAAATACTTAATTATTAACTAAGTAATATAATTCTTAATTCAAAAGATAGTCCAGATCTAGGGCTTTAAAATAAATAAATTAATTAAATTTTATATTAGACAGTTATAATTTTACTATAAAGTATTAGGTAATAAGGTTCTAGTAATAATTTACTAGTATTTTAGATAAAAGAATAAGCAAAATTAGTATACCTATAATTACTTACTTATTAGAAAACTCTTCTTTTCTATTAATATTATAATCGAATTCGACTATAATAATATTTCCTAAATACTAAATAAAGCTCTCTTTTGGGAATTTAATATTAAATAATAATTCCCTAATTAATTCAGAGCTCTTCTCTTAAGATACTTCCTATAATTCGAATCTTATAACCTTCTCTAAAGCCTCTAATTTGTTTATTTCTCTCTTAAAGAAGTAAAATAAGAAGAACTAAAGGAATTTATAAATTTATAAATAAATAAGAAATAAAGTAAATATATAATACATATTCCTAAATAGTAAAGAAGAAAAAATAGTATTATAAATTCTATATAGCTAATTATAAAATTAGTAAAGAAATAAGTATAATATTTAATTACTTAAAGATATATAATATTATTAAGGATTTGGAAAAGAATACTAAAGCAAAAAATATCGAGATTAATATTATAAAGGCTATAAAATTAGTATAAGAAAACCTATAAAAGTATTAAAAATTAAATAGCTCTAATAAAAAAAGCCTTTCTTTAAATAAAGATATTATTAAAGTTCTTTATATTAAGTTTATATTCGCCTATAATTTACTATTATATCTAGTTAAATACTCCGAATTCCGAGTATTTCTCTATTATCTAAATAAAGATATTAATTACTAGCTTTTTGTATTATATAATATAATTAGGAATTAGGTACTTTATTAATTTAAAATCGAGAAGAATAAGATTAGAAATTAGCTTATAAATATTAAAATAAAGATATATTTATTTCTTAATATATAGACTTCTCTAAATAATAAGCTAATTCTTAATATTATTACTTATTATATCTCGAGTATAAGGGTTTTAGAGCAAGTTATTCTGGTTATAAAAGAAATTAAGAGTAATTATAAGAGAGAAAACCTAGCTCTAGTTCTAATTAAGGTAATTCATAATTGGGAAATTATTTAGAAGCTTAAATATATAATAATAAATAATATAAGTAATAATAATACTATAATATAAGTTCTTTTAATTAGTAAGTAATTTATATAGTAATTTAGTAAATATTAGCTAACTTTATTAGAATTACTTTATAAGTATAATATTATATATAATCTAGTTATATAAAGACTTTAATACTAAGGCTATATAATTAACTTATTAGTTAATTTATTTATTTATATTATAGATAAAAAGAACTTAAAAGAGATTCAAATAATATAGTTAAAGGAAATTCTTAAGAAAATCGAAATATAAAAAAAGTTTAATTTTATTAGTAAGCTTTATAATATTATTATTAATATTTAAAGTAATACCTAGAGAATACAGGAATTTATAGCTTTAAGTAAGTAAAATTGCTTTTTAAGAAATAATAAGAAATAATAGAATTCTATAATAAGAATAATTAATAGAGCTATTATTTCCCCTATTTATAAAGCTATTCAGGTATATATAGAGCATTATAAATCCGAGGTAATTAGAGGTAATAAGCTATTAAATAAGAACTAGACTACCCTATATAATATTTATAAATTTCTTAATTAACTAATATAAATTATACTAGTTCTAAAGTTTACTATTTCGACTCTTAATAATATTTTACTAGCTATAGACTTTATTCTTAAGTAATTCGAAATATCTAAGGAAATCTATAAATATAATAAAATATTAATATTAATATTTAATTTTGGATAGGCTAAAATAGAAAAGTACTATAATATAACTAATGAGAATTCTATATATATAATAATAATTATTCTTAATTCAAATATAAAATAGAAATATATTAAAAATAATTAGAAAAAGAAATAGTAAAAAAAGGCAAAATCTATAATAGAAAGCCTTTAGAAAAAGCATAAGCTAATAAATTTAATCTCTTTCTCTTTAGCTATATTAACTTAATCTTATTTAGAAGCCCTTTAAAAGAATATCTTTATTACTTAAAAGTAATAATACTAATTAGTTCCAAGTATTAAGAACAAATATAAGAGATACTATATTACTAAGTATATTTATAATATTAATTCAAGAATATAGTAAATAGAAATAATTTAATAAATTAATTACCCTAATTTAAATAAGCTAATATTAGATATATTCTCTATTTCTATTATATTAGCTAACCCTAAATAACTTTTCTTAAGTACTAAGCTATAGATTATAGAACTTCGGAATAGGCTAGATATAGATATAATTAAGGTATTTAAGTATTTAAAGTTATAATATAAGATAAAGGGCTAGAAAAGCAAATTTAAGTACTTAGAAAAGGTATTTAGTAAGGAAATAAGGAAAATAGGGGTAGATCACGTATAGACTAAATAGACTATGATTTAGACTGCGGTCTGGTTAATTTTAGTATAGTCTAGTCTAGTTCCGAATAACCTCAGTCTAGTTTATCGAATATAGACTACGGTTTGAGAAAAAAATTCCAGACTACGGTCTGAGACCGTAGTCTGGACTATTGACTACCCTGCCCTTAAGAGAAGAGGCTCTTAGATTTCCTGCTCTTATTCTAAAACTCTTCAATATTCTCAACTGCATGAAGTGTCCTTTGGACAATCACTGCAAGGATCGTAGACATATCAACCCCCCTTTTGCTTTTCGCATAAATCCTTCACGTGATCAAGGCTGTCCCGCCGAGAATCATGTCTTCACCTCAGTTGCGAGTTAGTCAAACCATCGAATACTTGGAGAGGTATCCACATACCGGATGATCCATGCCACGTGGGAGCGCGCATGAAAAACTTTCATCTCCATCACATACATCACTTCGCTACCAAATCAATCACAGTACTTGGCCGGAAGTGCATCCCCGAGTTCAATATCAACTCCTCATTAATGAAATCTATTCCGAGTCTGGAACCCAATACTTTTAGAGTGTAGCCACCTATGTTATGCCCCATTCCATACATGATGAACGTTACATGTGATGGTTTCCATACGTATATGCACATCATCCGTCGTCCATTTTTACCATTGCCATTACACCAATAAACCGAAAGAATGTAGTCCCCGCTCCAAACGCAATGCAAAGGGGTATCATCCGTAATAACATACAATATGAATCGAATTTTCAGAAGAAAAACAAGATGTGAAGATGGTCGACTTCTATTTTTGCAAGTGGTTCGACAAATATAAGCTCGACTCGCGTGAGAACGGGTATGGAAGAAAAGATTTAAGTGTAATCCCTGTCGATTCTCGTTGAGCTGCCTTCTTGCGAGACTGCAGTTGGAGCCTGCTGCTGCTCATTTTGACTGTCATAGTAGTCGTTGGTGGAGCCGAGGAGCATTTTCCATACGTCTCCATCAGATGGCTCGTGGTCGACAATGTCACTATGAGAGGATTCAAGTCAGTATGACGCGGTCTCGAAAGTTACACCGGACAGTGAGAAGGAAAGCTGACAACTCACGGTTTAAGGCCCAGCCTCGAATCCAAAATATCAAGACGCTCGAGAGCGGCAGTGTTCTCACCGAAGCTGATAAACTGAATCCCAACTTGTACTCTGCCTATATCAAGTTTATTCAGTTTATTGACAAGATTTTTAATGGGCGCTGCTGCATCGCAATTGGGCTCCCAAATACCATCGGTAAGAATGTACAGATTTCGTGGGAGGACGGGTTTTCCAAAGAATCCTTTAGGCTTCTCGAGTTCGGTTTGATATGTGGCGAGGATTTCCGTCAATTTCAGATTCATGTCTGTAGTTCCTTTAAGGTGTTTCGATCGCAACTTGACCATCTCGACAAGTTTGCTGGTCCTTTTGGTTTTCTTCAAGGTGTCGCCAGAGATGGTGAAGGATAGGTCGAGGCCATTAGGATCAACATCCTTCAAAACGTATGACAATGCTTCGAACACCCTTGTCACTCTTTTCCAATGAGGTGTCATTGTAACAGAATCATCAATCAAGAATACCTGCATAGTTTTAGCGCGACCTAGTGTAAATAAGGAATAACATACATGATCTCGTTTCCTTAAGCGATCATGAAGTTGAGGATTTGGAATTGGTTTTTGGATCCCACTGTCTTTTCTGTCGCGCTTCCACTCCAGTGCCTCTTCCACCGACCATCGCTCTGGAGGCGGTGTTAGACTATTTGCAGTACCTTGAACGGCAGGAGCTGAGGAACGATCCTGCATCTGAGGAATAGGGATGGGACTTTCCGTATGTGGTGGTTGAGCGACGGGCTCGAGCGTGGTTGAGAGAGTCGAATTGTCCGATGTCACGCGGGAATGAGATGATTCTCCTCTGGATATATGCCGAGAATGGCGCGTCGGCTTGAATGCCATATGTTCCATCTCATCTGGCGAGTTGGACTTGCGGGGTGATGGGCTGTAGCCCTCACTGTAATCTGAGTACCGATGGCGGATTCCTCTCGCAGATCCGCCGTTCATGACGATACCTTCATGTCCGCGTCCAGCCCCCATCCCAGAACTTTCAGATTGAGGTCCGACAAATGGGCCTTTTTGGATTGCCTGTTTGAGACTTTCCTTGGCTGATATATCGCTTCGGTCAGCGTGACGAGATTGGTGTGCGGTGCGTCGCGGATTATCACGACTAGGCGGGTCTCCAGTCCATACATCGTCCTCTGCAATGGAATCTGGACTTTGACTTTGCTGACCGTCTGTGTTAATCGGTGACTGTAATGGAGAGATGCGGTCTGGGTCGCCGCGTCCATGTTGCGACCTTCTTTTGGGGCGGTAAGGTATCTCTCCTTGTTGATATGATCCGTCGGAGGTAGGTGACTGAGGCGGTGAAATATCAGGTGGAGGATTCGGAGGTGCCGGGGGTGCATGTTGAGGGACAGTTTGACTGCGGCTCATCGCCGACCGGCTTGCGCTTGCCCTGCGCTCCCCTGAAGCAGGGTTATTGGCGTATTTAAGTTCCTGTCTGGCTTCTGCGACAATGCCTTTGGATTTGTACCAGAGCTTTTCAGCTGTAGGACGAGCTAGAGATATGTCTAACATATCTGGAATCATCCGCTCAACAACAGCTTTCGTAATATAGTCTCCCGTTCGCAAGTTCGTGGTTGACTTTCTGTGAGACTCACGCACTGCAGTGAGCATCGCATCGCCGTTGTGGAAACAGTCAGCATCCCGAAATTCGGGTATCTTCGAAATCTCGTTCCGGCGTTCACCTCGATATGCTTGTACTCCTTTGTACTGATTCTTCATCCATCGCGCAAGCTCACTGTAAACGCAGCCCAGAGACCATATGTCGACGTTTTGGCCCACTCGGAGCTTGTCGTGGACGGATCTCTCGTCGGGTCTATAGCATTCTGGCGCACCTGCAGCACGTGCATTAGCCAGGGTAGCGATGGGTGGCAAAAATAAGACACTAACCATAGGTCCTAGTCCCATACGAATCACTGGCTGTCGAATCCTGCCGTGACGCGTCAACCCTTTTGAAGTGGCTTGTCCCGAGGTCTGCCAGCTTGAACTCCCACTCGCTTGTATTCTCTGATCCATTGCTTACGACCAATATATTCTCAGGTTTCACGTCCTGGTGCCACCTAGGCAAACAAAATCAGCAGGCGCAGACGTCTAACGTGGTGAGATGACGTACCCATGAAATATAAAAGCGCCCCCATCTGGCTGTGTCTGGTGTATGCGCCTCAATGCATCTATTATTTTGAACAGAGCTTCCCAAAATTGTATGATCTCTTCTGGTTCCACGGGTGGTATCTCGTTTCGGAAGTAGTCCTCCAAAGTTCCTTTGTCGGCGTATTGGAGGAGAACATTATGGGTATGGCCTCTGGTAAAGCTACCATGAAATCCGATTATTCCTGTCTCCCCGCCATCCTGCTGCAACCTCCGAAACGCCTCAACCTCTCTGGCATATGATGTCGGCGCCGCTGCGATGAAGTATGTCTTGAGCACGAAGGTGTCGGCAGAGTCCTTTAGTCGCTATGGGTCGGGGTCAGTAATGCTTTACCAAGCTTGCAGGAGGAAAGGCCTCAAGAAAACATGGATCATACTGTTTTTTCGTTCTCAGATATGAGCTGGTTGTACGCAGGGTGTAGTTTGATCAGCCACAGCGTTGCGCTCCCTCCAGAGTTCAAACTCTTTTTATACACAATCGGCAAGATAGTTTCTGGGGGGAAATGTAGGTCCGCAAATGGTTGACGTATCACGGGCACGCAAAACTTCCACTGTTCTTTGCAGAATCTCTCCAAGAAGGTTGGATCTCCAGTGTCTTCCGGCCAATTAGGAGGCTTGCTCGTCGGATCGAAAGGCAGTTTATCATCGCTCAGGGATTTATGACGCCGAAAGTATTTAATCCACCTGCCCTTCGAGATTTTGAGGAGCGTGCAGAAAACATCGATGTTGTTGGGAAGGATGTCGTTCGGGAAAACGCTATCGCCTTGAGGGAATAACGCTGCAATGATCTGCTTTAGCTTCTCTTGCTCGTTCTCCTCTAGGTATGCCTGAACTTTGTCCCGCACAGCGAATGCAAGGTAAGTTGGGCCTTCTGTTGGGTCGGGGTTGACCACCTCGAACGAGGAGGCGACTCTGTTAAGGAATGAGAGAAACGACTGTATAGAAGGCTGGAAATCTGGCTGTGGCCCCGGGTCTTCCATGCGGACGAGGCTCCAAGAAAAACGAAGACAAATTTGGCGACGATCAAAGGCATGCAATGTCGTGCATGAGCATGAGGGTCGTATGTATCAGGTGGTGCAGCAGCTGGCTCCACGTATTTGGTGAGGTGGATGCAAATGAGGGCAAAGGGAAATGGGAAGAGGCCGACGACGGAGAGCCTCATTCTACTGAGTGGATAAGGCTCGCCGCCGTGATGATTGGCAGGGCAAGCAAAAACAAAACAAGGAGGGGGACGTGCCAAGCCTGGCCGGCCACCTTGGACGTGTCCCGGGGGGAAACGCTGGACGGTTCATCCCGCAGTCTTGGAGGCCCCAGGATGGGGTGAGGTGCAGGTAGTGCAGGTCTTTTTAGCGGGGCAATGTGCAGCGGATACAAACATCATTGGCCCGTGGAAGCTTAAAATGGCAGCCCTCGATTATTAATTGCTTGAGGGAAGCTCCTCAGACCAATTACCTGGGAAGAAGCGTCCCGCGAAACCTGAATTCAGCTTGGCACCCTGGACCCCGCAACCCACACGCGAGCAACCAACAAATTTTGACCAATGCTGAGTGCACCGAACCCGAGTGGAATGAACTGCAGACTGCTGAATATTTATTGCGGAAACCGGAAAATATGCATCATATTTTACGGGGTGTACGAGCTAAATATATAAGTAAAGGTTAAGCAGATGGGTTTCCATTCGACACCATATATCATGTACAGTACGTCGGATTCCAACCATTTATTAGAATATTATATCCTGCCCGCCTTCCTTCTGAACGAGACATGAACAATTTACCACAACTTCGCCCAAAAGTACCCCTTTTTAGAAAACACATAGCACATTTTAGGAAGAACAATAAGACTGACTCAAGCTACCAGGCGAGCAGACAGAGTAAGATACGCCAATATGAAATCTCTCGCTAACCCCCTATCACTTTCTTACGCCATGGAATAATCTCCACTGGCCACACGTCTCCCTTTCTCCTTTTCCGTGTTCCGTCCCCGCCTCTTTGTCATCACATATAACACGCGCCAGGCTCCGAACGTCAGGGCCATGAATGGTATGGTGACTTCAAGATATATCTGCAGGGCCCGGATAGAAAAATCCTCCTGATTATTTGTGACATGTAAAATATCGGTGCTCATGATGGTCTGCAAATATCGAAACTTCATCGTCAGCGAGCAATTAGGAAATTGTCGTTTGATGTTGAGAGAAATTTGGGCTCAACTTACAGATATGAAAGTTCCCGGGAGAAAGAAGAGTGTAACGAGAGTGATTATTTTCATGGAAACGGTCTCTTGCTTTGTTTTCTTGGCAATCTCGTGCATTGAATCTGTCACGAGTTCCATTCGCTCAGTTGAGATCTGGGCCCTTTTGGTCAAGGCCTTGCTGGTTTCTATAGCCTGCTTGTTGAGGATTCCATAGAGCTGGAAATTTGTCAGTAAATTATCTCGAGTACTAGACTGCTTCACTCCAGAAATCAAGAGCGGGGACTCACCAAGCTTTTCCGATCACCTAACAGTGTCTGTAAAATTGCAGTTCTGGACTTTTGTCGTTGAAGATCGGTAATAATCTTATTGACATGTTTCTCGAAGTGAGCAAATTCTGCCTGACAATTGTCTTTGATCTCGTCTGGGAAATCCGGGGACTTAAACATGAACTGATAGTGCTCTTTCATTTCAGTCAGAATATCAATGTTAGCTTCGAGAACCGGAGCGACCTCATTCGCTTTCTCTTGGAAAAATTGAACCAGCTGCAGATTTTTGAAAGTGAAGTCTTCATCGTTAGCCATGCGCTTGTCAGTCGGCAATGCTCCTGGCATTCCTGGAGGAATAATGGGAGGTGGAGGTGGTCCAGAAGGAGGGGGAGGTGGAGATTGAGGTGGCGAAGGTAGAGTCGCTGGAGGGAATGCAAATGGTGTCTGGATCTTCTGCTCCTGGAGGCCTGTGCTTGACCTTGTCAGCCGCGAAGTTGTCGAGAGTGTCCGTCGGGTTATCTCTGTTACGGTCCGCCGTATCCTAGACGGCGACGAGGGTGACTTGATTTCCGGTTGAATTGGCTCGTTGAACAAACTTGGGTCCTTATCGATGATGATTGCTAACCCGCGACGAGTGGCATCCTGAAGCCTCTTCTCGAGGTAGTTCAGATACCACCGCCACTCTTCGTCACACCAGTCACATAGAACTAGATGTGTAGCCATAGTCGAAGCAAATGCCTGGGTCATTGAACCGAACGACTTCAGGCTTGTCGAACCAGAGGACCCTTTGGAAGTGGCTGCTTTGATTCTTGCTTTGATCAATTCGCTCCCTTTGACCACTATCCAAAATGACTTGCCTGTCTCTACATCAAATGAGTGGTATATGGCTGTTTGTCGAATTGACCAAGGCCAGTCTCTGTTGCTCCCGGACGTCTCAACTGATTTCAAATTGTAGCACAAACGTATTTCTCGACCCGATCGTCCTAATTCAGGTACCACCAAGCCACAAGGAGGGTATTGCAGTCTTGATTCTTCTCGTAGTCCACTAAAGTAGAAATCCTGAGGGTGCTCTTGCATCCCAAAAGGGAATACAAAGTCCAGAAAAGCAGCCATCACTTGATGGTGTGTGAGAGCAGCAACCAACATTTCCTTGCTTATTCTCAAATAATCGCGAGAGTGAAAAGCATGCAGAAATCTATCCAATTTGTCAAAATCAATCTTTTGATTGTTGTGAATTTCGAGAGGCAGACAGGGTTGTCAACTTACAGAAATCTGCATCTTGGATCATCATGACTAAACCGGGGCACTCCTTCAAGTCGTGGTACTAGCTCCATACCACTCGACACACACGTAGATTGAAATTCTGGAAACATTGAGCTATGCTTTTGGTATAAAGGAGTATTTCGTCTAACCTTTGACATTGTCATCATATTCCCAGATGTCGACGGCAGCCTTGCCATCTTCGCAAAAGATTCGGGACGATTGATTCTCCAAACGGGCAAAGTACGCATCCAAATAATGTTGGGGTACCAATTTATGAATAAGATTTCTCGGGAATGTAGCAGCTTGTTTGCATGATTCTATCAGCAATCCAATATCTGATGGAATTGACATCTCCTGGGGGGCTCTGGGTCATCGACCCAATGGCGGAAACGTCTGCTAGATCTCCATAGTCTTGTAGATGCGATTTGATCAACTGTCCTGAAGCGTTCAACTCAAGTGCAAATGCCATTCATATATTTGATTGCAAGATCGGGAGGGAACCTGTCTGAGGCTCTGGATGGCCCCCAAAATCACCATTGGTGGTGGCTGAGTAAGGCTCCCTTTCGGGGCAAACTCAGCTGCATACGCCACTTTACTCCGTAAGACATTGCCGCCCTTGCCACCCCACCACGGCTGATAGCTGAGTGCATGGTCCCATACATAAAGCTGGTGCCCGACTTTGTCCCAACGCCAACACATCGTAAAACGCCGTAAAAATTTGAACCCTGAAAACCCGAAATTCAGTCCACGTGTCCCAGCCTCACGCCCGAAGCAGCCATTACGTCGAACCTCTTGTTCTTTTCTCCATCAATTGAGTTCGTTGAGCCTGGAAAAATAGATGTCAGCTCGAAATCAGGAATGCAGGGTGAAAGCGCAAGCGGGCGATTCGGCGAATTTGATACCTGCGTCAATTTGTATGGGATCCAAAACTGCCAGTAGTCGGTGGAGAGCTAGAAGGGGTCAGCAAGCAACTCAATTGGTCGAATCGAAAATGTGGACAGTGAAAGCAGTACTCGTGTGTAGAATTCATAATACCCGAAGAGCCCCTGGAGAAAAGCATCCACAGTTTCTTTGCTCAGACGATACGCAGGAATTGAATCCCAAGTCGCGTTCGACCAATCAGCCATCGTCAGGGGTACAGTATATGTCTGACCTCGGGGATTAGAGGCGGTGACAAACTTGTAGTTTCGTCTCGGGAGCGGGTTGCGCAATACTTTGCCTTAACACGGTTAAAGAAAAGACCAGAGAAAAAGTGGGAAGGGAGCCTGACATATTTATGCCGAGCACCAGGCTCTCACGCCGTGTAGTCGGCAGTGAAACTATCAAATGAGCTGCCTACAAGGCAAACAAGGCGTCCGGTAGAATTTCCAACATCTGTCGACTGATTGGCAGCCTTGTTCACCAGAACCCCAGATTGGTTTTCCTGTGCAGTCTCATGCTCGAATCAAGAGATTCAGTCCACTTGGTGTCCTTTCCACTACACCTTCTAGAACGAAATGCCGCCGTGCGAGAACCTGTAAGATCATGAGAGACAGCCCTAAAATACTATCGCCTACTCCAAAGCCTCTTCTGCACTGTAACAACCCGATACTGCGATGGCCCGATTTTCGGCAGGTTGTCGTCTCTACGCCGTGGGCGTGAGCACCGTCACAACCTACATACTACGCCTTGGGTACCAACACCGACTCGAGCCGAAGCGTGTGCCAAAATTCACGTCACACAATGCATGATACGGTAAATTTTCATCGAGTGTGCCCGAAGCCGGGAACTTACGCCCTCCCTCCACCACACCACCAGCAGTCAGAGCTCTGTCAAGGCATTGCTGCCCTTGACTGCGGCTGGGAGAAGATTTGAAGAGGAGATCGAGCAAAGAAACCCCATTCAGGGGTACCCCTGCACCACCCTCCTTTTATTCAACCGCTCAATTAAAGGGATAGGAAACAGAGCTCTTATGTATACAATCCAGGATGGAAGCAGCAAGTCCAACAGCGACACCTTTTCACATGGCGACGTTTGATCCGATTACAGTCATTCAAATGATTAACATCAACATACCGATATCCACGTCTGCAAAATGCCGCTCAAAGCAACAAATACCGTACTCCACCCTGCTGAGACGAGCCCGTACATAGGCACTGTCACGATCCCTGTGGCCAAACCAAGGAGAACTAGATACCACGCCCAATGCCGTGCTTGTTTGCCTAGCCGAGGATTTCGAAAGAAGAAAAGACAGAAAATATAAGAATTACAGCTCCTGAAATCTTCAGCAAGCAGTCTTGACAAAGGGAGTAGAAGTCTGCGTCGCCCCAAGAGCCTTTAAGTTCAATACGATGTATATTGCGCTCACAACAGAAACGAAACCGACGATGAGGATAACAAGGGTTGTATCGTTTTGGTTGAACTTTGGATTGTGACTTGTTAGCAGACTTGTAAGGTTGGTGTAACAAGGGGATATCTTACCTCATGGTTTTATGGATATGCCGTTGCTATCTTAGAAGTTATACCGAAAACGCTGAATGGCTCAATCTGTTCGATACCGGAAGACTTGGGAATATCAGATAGTGCCAACAGAAAGTATAGTGGGCAAGACACTGACCATGAACGACCAATCTGCGCTGCAAATGAAGGACCCTGGGGATCGCGCGGCAATTCTTTCGATTTGATCTATATGAGGAGCCCACCGCTGCGGCGCAGCTTTGGCTTGGGAGATTCTTTTGTAACCTCCGCTATTTTTGAGAACCTTTCTTCCTGGGAAACCATCCTCTTCTAACTCAAGATAATTCGTGGCAAGTGGCAAAAATGGCAGCTTTTGCAGGCCCTGAAGGTATTATAGATCGCTTTTATGATCACTCACCATGGCATCAAAGTCGGCCAAGTCGCTTTCACTGACACCGGTGCCCAGGCTCCAATCATAAACTTGGGCCATGGGAGGAAGGCTCCTCACATCGCAGCCTCTCTGAATGGCGGCTCGGAAATGGGAATCCAGTTCACGAAAAGTTGAGCACAGTTTTGCAATATTACCTGCAGCATATCTCGCATCATTGTCTTCTTACCTGTGGGGTACTTCAATACGTACTTAAGCTTCCTTCTGTCGAAGGAGGTGGGTTATGTTAAATTCGACACACCTATCAAGCCTGTAAGAGCCATGGCTTTTTTTGGAGGGCGAGTCGTGATGATTTGGTCCATATGGGATATTAAATCATTATCTGCTTGTGAAGGTGTACTTCGTTCAATAGAGTTTCAATGAGCTGGAGGTAGGCGTAGAATATGTTACGGCCTTGCAAAAACATGTGCTTCTTGAGGCAGAAAATTCGAGCCGCTACAAGGCTCTCAGCCGCACAAAGCTAAGCTCATTAGATGTTTGCTCAGCCTGCGGTAGAAGCCATAAGAACCAGGGAATGCACGTGACCTTCTTTCCTAACATCCCCACGACTTCTACAGCATTTAAAGTTCTTCGAAAATACGCAGTTCTTCGAGGCGGGGTTTGAGCGGTCCTAGAACGTGAGCTAAGTCCATCGACGAGAGAGAGGCGAGGCTGTATCCAATGCAAGACGCTCAAGGGATGGGAAGCACTCGATGAATGTTTTGAAGTTGTTAGGCCCGAGATTGGTAGAGTTGGAGGCGAGGGTCTTAGACTGAAAACGAGGAGCCGGGTTTGGGAGATCAAGTTCGTTGATGTTGAAATCCTCGATTTTGAAGGGTAGACGGTCTTAAGCTGAAGGAAGGGCATGAGCATCGATACCGAGAAGGGAACGTGATCAATGAATTCGCAGCACTGCGGATAAGGAGATCGATTTCCAGTTGGGAAGAAGGCGTAATGCCATGTTTGGATGATCTTGAAAAGCCACAGCCTGATTGGGGACTGCGTTGACCTAGCGATTTTTATGAGGTCTACCAGCTGTTCGAAGTGCTGTAATACTCTAAGGAATCCACAAGCTCCCTTGTGTCGCATGCCAAGGCAGACCTGCTGAAGATTGAGGAGAGAGAGCAAGGCCAATGCTGCTGCAGAGTCCCAATTGAACTACTCGAAATCCAAGTAGCAGTCATACGCTATATCGGCAGGAAGACGCGCTCGCCAGATTATTCTTCGAACGGCAGCTTCAAGCTCATTGTCGCAAAAAGCATTGGGATCGGCGAAAGGCAGCGTGGGCATTTCGACGTACGATGGAAATTACCCTTGGAGGTCGTGCAATGCCCGTGGATCATGGGAGGCGAGAGATCATTGGAGGGGGGATCTCGAATCTCGAGCACCTTCGCATGCTGAGCTAAGCGGGGACAGGGCAGAATCGAACGGAGAAAGCAGAGCAAGTCATGCTCGTGGACGCTTTCGCCAGCAGTTGAGGTGTGGTTCAACGGCTGTGTGGAGAAACTTGGAGCACAGTGAGAAACTGTAGAGATTCTGTTTCCGACCGATGCTAGTGCAATGGTCAAGGTCAGCAACTCGATGGATGATTTCGGAAAGGATCTCCGGTGGTACTCGATGAAGATGCATTGCGGATGTTGTTGATGAGGCAGAGAAGAGAAAGTGAGGTCGTTAGAAGGCTGTCTAGGCATCGGCATGCATAGCAAGTAGGATTACCATTGGCCAGCCACTCGGTTGGTACTTTCACAAGGCTGCTAAAATTTGATTGAAAAACTCAATGTACCCAAAAAATTGAGGTGTAAATAACCATAATGAAGAGAGTAAGGCGGACTTAGCTCTTGTCCAAATCAATAAGCACATGAAACCCTCAAGAACCCTTTGGAGGTCTCTGACTATTTGGTCTACTGATCCGAGGGGTGACTATGCCCCATCTCCGTAGCTCCGCACACGACTCCAGAAGAACGCCTTATCGTTCCTCAATGTAAACTCTCCCGAATCATCCGTCAGTAGGTTATAATTCCAGAAACCCTGCCAGACTAACTTATTGTTCCTGGCGCCCTTCCCAGCACTGCGCAGAGAAAATTTCATGCGGTACATATACTTCGCTCTCGCGCCTTCTGTCTCAACAAACACATCGCCTTCGGTATCCTTAAGGTCAGCGTCTGGGCTATCGCCAGCAGTTGAGAGGCGCCATCTTCCCCTGAGCGCATTTTGCATGACGACGGAAGGGAGATGGGCTGCTGCTCCGTCGCGGTGTGTCTCTTGAAGCTCTTTTGTGAGGTATTGAACTACGTCTGCGGGTTCAGTGGTGGTAAGGAGACTGATGACGGTTCCGTCTCGGAAGAAGCGGAGGTATCGGTAATAAGTTATAATATGCACGGGACTGTTCCAGGTTATTTGGTTTGGAGATGCTTGGCCTGGTCTGATGTAGTTGACTGTGCTGATGTAGCATCCATTGAAACGGATCCTGGGTCGGAAGCGGAACATCAAGTGCCATGAGGCTGAATATCCGGCATGTAAGAGCGCTTCTGTGATCGCTTCCTTGCTTAAAGAAGGCTCCATCTCATCAAAGTCTTCATCTAGGCCGAGGGTATCTTCTTTAAGTGGTCCTCCGAGCACTTCTCGTTGCCATTGGTAATGCATAGCCCCAAATCCAACTTCAGATCCGAGGCATACCCGTTTCCATATTTGTTCGTTGCTGGTTACTAGGTATGCCATTTTCTTGCAGACCTGTGCTAGTCGGACGAAAGATGCAACATCAATAATGGCCACCTCTTGAAATATGTGGACGAGGATCTCTTCCGGTAAGTCGGCTAGAGGACAAGGGGGAGGAGGGGTCCCTTCGATAGCAGGTGGGGCAGGCTCGATATTTAGTCCAGCATATCTTGCAATGAGTTGTTTTATAGTCTGTGGGGGTCCGTCTAGGGAGTGGTGGGCAGGATTGGGCACTGTAGCTGCTGCGTTGGAAGAGTTCGGGTTCGTGTGTTTCGAATATGAAGGCGGGAAGTGTTTGTTCTTGTATTTCTGATCGACTCGATGATCCAACTTCTTCTAGTCAGTTGAGTTCAGTCGGTGAGGTTCCGGGCTTACACGGAATGCTTTGCGGTAGAGGCTAAGGCTGTCCCCAAGACTGCCTTGGCTTTCTCTCTCTACCGCCCTCTCGTAGTGATCCAGAGCTGATTGTGGTTCCTTGGTCGAGGTGCTTCTGGTATGCTCTTCCGAACTGCTGGGTCCGTCCAGGCGGGGAAATATTTGAGGTTCGACATGACCCTCATCTTCTTTGACCGATTTCAGTGGTATGCTTGAAGAAAGGCTCGTAATAGGTGGTGGTCTGCGTGGTGCTTTGGAAGGTTTAGTAGCTCCGTTGCCATCGGCTTGAGCTCGTGCGGATACTTCTGCGCGCCATTGCTGGCGGAAACTCTCTAGTTCAGGGTTTGGTTCTTCCATGTGGGTCGTAATATCGTACAGTTTAGGAGAGGTTTATTAGATAAAAGAAGAGGTGAGCGTGGGGAGAGAGGCAGTTGTTGTGAATGTTGAAATCCGAAGCTTTTGATAACCTCTCCTTATCCAACGCCGTCATCGCCGCCTGATCCCGAAGCCGAGAGGCCAATTTTTCTGTCCGTGTCGACCTAGGCTTCTTTGGGCATTTTCTGCCGCCGCCATCGGTGCTCGGCTCAAAGGTCGATCGACAAAATATCGGCGACATCATTGAGTCCTTCAACACCTCACAACAACCTTCAAATAATGCGGTAGACACGAACTTTCGAGCATCGCCACCCTCTCTACGACAATCCACGATCTGCTGAAGCTCAGGCAGAGTTCCCGTCGATGTCAGCCCATTGGATTCGTCACGCCGACTCGGATAAAGAGCTTGCCACCGCTTTCGAGCACCAAAGCGGTTTGGGAGGCAGAGGTCATGACAGAATACATGGAGACAACCCGATTCCCGGAGTCTCGTCCACAATCGCCATGACGGGTGACATGACGGGTGGTAATGACGATATCGAGGTGGACATTACTGCCGGGCAAAAAATGATGTCTGCGATGTCTGGGAGTCTGTTGACTTCGCTGCTTGGTGAGTGGACTGTCTTCTGATGAATTGCGAGTACTGATATATATATCCTATAGTGACCCCCCTCGATGTCGTCCGCGTTCGACTGCAGTCCCAACCTACTCAATCACCTCTCACTACCATCCAAAAACTAGCCTCGACCTCCCCGCAATCATTCAATACCCTTCCTCCAAACCTCGGAGTTACGGCTTGCTGCCGAGAAGTCTTCTTCGCAAACAATAATGCAGAATACTGCATAGCCGGACCGAAAGTGGGGGAGATAACCATCGGAGGAGCAGAGTGTGCAGTCGAGGAAACGCAAAGAAGGACCTTCAACTCTACATTCGACGGGCTAAGAAAGATTGCTCGGAACGAAGGAGTAACGACGTTATGGCGAGGATTGTCTCCCACGTTAGCCATGACGGTTCCTGGGAATATCATATACTTCACTGGGTACGATTGGTTGCGATTCAACAAGATGAGTCCTATCAACCGAATGTTTTCGGACAATTATGCACCACTGGTAGCAGGGACAGTTGCGAGGACGCTAGCTGCCGGGGTCGTGAGTCCGATCGAAATGTTTAGGACGAGGATGCAGGCTAGTCGGTCGACGGGAGGCGGTCACTTTGCTGAAACAGTGAAAGGAGTGGGAGAGATGGTTTCTCTTCACGGGTACACTTCACTGTGGAGAGGATTGACCCTGACTTTATGGCGAGATGTCCCCTTCTCAGGAGTCTACTGGTGGGGGTATGAGAGCATCAGGAGTCTTCTAACAGAAGCTCGGGAACGGGGACGAGGACACGATCTCTCAATGGAAGGATCAAGAAGTCGAGCAAGGAGGCGGTCTCAAAGTCAAGAAAACCACAGGGACACGTTCATGGACAGTTTCATTGCAGGAGCAACGTCCGGCACCGTTGCTTCGATCTTGACAACACCCTTTGACGTTGGGAAGACTAGACGGCAAGTCTTCGTCGAAGCAACCTCAAATGCAGGAGCTAAGAAAATACTGGCCCCCGAGGAACGCTCCATGCCTAAGTTCCTATGGCATATCTTCAGAACCGAGGGCGTGGCAGGATTATGGACTGGCTGGATACCTCGCACACTGAAAGTCGCCCCCGCATGTGCCATCATGATCAGCTGTTATGAAGTCGGGAAACGCGCCTTCCGCAGCATGAACGAGAGAGCGGAACGGAACCGAGCTGTATGAGTAGAGCACATCACTCCATTCTGGAGTCTGACAAGGAGTTTATTTTGCGGCCTTTGATTTGTAGCTGGAGTGTTCTGCATAGCGGTTTTGGACGGAGTCATTTGACGGTGTACTACTGCATGTAAGATAGAGAGACCAATATCCATTACTGAACAAATGTTTACAGGTTTGAATTTCCTGAACCTTGGAGAATTCCTCGCCAATACATTCGACGCCCAACTAAGCCTGGTCATGCATGCCTGGTGACAGCAAACTACCACGCCATCCCCCATGCGAACACCGTAAAACTCAAAATTTTGGGCATCGTAATATGAGACAAGAAACCCGACCTTTCACGGAACATACACACCACCAAAATCCGCCCTGTATGAAAATTTTGAATCATCTTGTAGAAATGGAACGCCCGGTAGGTCTAGGAGACTTGACGGCCTGGCCGCAGGGATTTTTGGATCGTACCCACAGAGGGGACTTTCGTCAGTGACGCTACCACCACTGCCTCCCATATTCGAGGCGCTGCTGAACACTGAGGATGTCTCAAAAGTTATACTTGAGATTGATGGCTTTCTCCAGTCCACAGGTCGGCCTCGACTTTTGTTGCTCGGAGCTTCCCACTACCTGCCCTGAACTGCCCTTTCTGCTTTCGAAGCTCTCCGTTATTCGATTGCCTCTTTTCTAACTTTCACCCTCATTCTTGTTAGTTATTAGCTCTTGCCTCATCCTCCCTTTTCAGCCGAGATTATTTTGTCTTCACCTTCTCCTTGCCTCTTTTTGACAGCCTTTCTGTCTTCGTCAGCCCTGTCCTCGATCGTTCCGCTGTTTTGCCTAGCTCGGTAATCTCTTCTCTCTCTGTCTCTAGTCCTCACACCATTCTGCTCCGGTCTTCTTCCTTTCTTCGCTTAATCCTCCAGTCTTCGTCCTCCAGTTTTCGCTCCTTTCTATTGTCCTCGCCGTCCCTCCGTCGGTTGATTCTTATCAATTCATCTTCAACCTCCCTCCTACGAGCAAGCCTTTCTTCATCTGCCGTTCTTCGTTTAAATACTCTCTTCCTTGTTTATTTATAATATACTTTATTTTGTAATTACAAGTCCGTAAAAGAATTAACACTTCGAGCGTAGTTGCCTATTACAGAATAGGACTTAAGATTATATCTTTAGAGTATATACATAGAGTATATACATATAGTTGTTGAGTTGTTTGTTTTCACTATACTATTCAATATAATACAAAGCTCTTCGTTACATTGTGTTTTATTACGTAATTCCTACCCTTTCACTATGTGGTTGACGTCGGGATCCTAGCCGACGGCTTCGGCTTCTGTGTTCGGCCCAAGGAAGTACTGAGAATTGAAGCCTATTGTTTTTTGGTTCTCCGGTATTATTTTATGCAATTACATGCGAAATGGGTGGTTTATAAAGTAGATATGAGCTTTTTGCTTCTGCTAAACAGCTATAGTGTGTACTGTTTTCACCGTGGTACGCCTATCCAGGTCCAGCTTTGCTTCCTCCTGAATCAATTCCAAGTCCGTGATATTCTCGCCTTCTCCACTCGTTTTCAGCATCTCATCCAACGCTTTCTGAGCTTCGGCAGCATATTCGCACTGGCTTCGAATTGCGGCTCCGTATCGAGCAAAGATGAAGGGGAACGGCATACAAATCAGCGCCAAGAATGCGGGGATACTTGACGCCCAGTGAATGCCAAGATGGTTATACATGGTGGCCGTGAACAATGGAAACGTAGCTCCTAGGACTGATCGCAGCATTGCCGTGGCAGCCATAACGGACGCAGCGTAGATGACGTAGGCATCGATGAGGTAGTTGACGCAACCTAAACTCAGGAGGACGTTGCCAAACCCGAAGATGCCGCTTCCAATGACGGGGAGAATCCAAGGCATCGTTTTCCCGTTCGTCCAGGCGAACAGAAAGAGGCCTATGGGAGTCGCAATTGCGGCGATCATGCAGGGCAGAAGTCGGGCTTCTGCTGGCGCCCGACCATGCGGCGAGGCGTCTGCGATTCGAACGTAGCGCGTGTTCTCCCACCTCATATATAACAAAGCAAAGGCCATGCCAACCGTCTGTCCGAAGAATGCGAGTCCGCTGACTCCCTGACTCCATCCACGCAGCTCCTCGAACACGATTGGAAAGGCTCCGAAAAACATATACATTGTCCCGTAGAAGATTGCCATGTATGTAGACATGATGAGGACAATAGGCTCTTTGAACAGTAAAACCCATGGTCGTGCCAAAGCAATTTTCAGAATAGCTGGCAATGATTTGGGCCCTTGGAGATGGTCGAGTCGAGTGACATAGACTTTCCCGGTTCTCTTAGATAGCGCTCTTGCACGGTGCTGAAGCAAGACTGGGGCGTACGTTTCCGGGATAATAGAGCCTGCGAATAGAAGGCAAGTTGCCAAGCAAGTAATGAGTACGTGAATCCATCTCCACGATAACGGCAGACCAAGGTATCCTCCCACGACTGGGCCCACTGCGTTTAAAGTCAGCTTTTTAGGTGTCATGGACCGAATATTAGAGGGCCACATGTCGAGACAGTCTGGTTTTAAACCTCAGTAGAAACTTTGAAAACTCCACTTGGGACATCTCTTCAATTCAGAATGCTGAACTCAGCAAGGCGATGTGGGACAGTGGGAGTGATTGAATAAATACATACAAACAGGGCCCATGAAAGGTGCACATGCGAAAACACTTTGTGCTTTGCCTCGCTCGGCAGCAGAAAACATGTCTGCGATGATTCCCCCAGAATTTGTAAGTTGGGCACTTCCACATAATCCCGCAATGAATCTTAACACAACCAGCTGAGTGATCGTCTGCGCTCCAATGCAGCCAGCATCAAAGACTGTGTAGGTGACATAGGTGAGGAGGAAAATGGCCTGCCTGCCATAAATCTCACTCAAAGGGGCCCAAAATACTGGTCCGATGGCAAATCCCAGCACGAAGAACGAAATGGGAAGCAGTGCCAGGGTATTGGACAGCCCCCACTCAACCATTTGACTGAGTATGCCTCCCGTGTCTCCAGAAGATGAGAACGACACGCCGAAAACCGTAAAGGCGCCTATCCATGCTAAAGTCCATTTCCGACGTTGTGAGAAGTTCATGGGATTTCGGACGTCGCAGGGTAGCCATTCCACAAGATATGGGTCTGCGTCAGTACCAGAGCCTGGAAGGCGGTGTTCGAAGACTTTTTGCGTCACCCATGCTTTATCTCGAAAGACTCGCCAGGTGCTGAGTTCTATGGGTGCCCAGTCGTCTTTCGTTTCACAGCTGGAAGAGATCGAATCGACCATGTTTCGACGTCCGAGGTGGTGAGGAGCCCGTCGGTTTTGAATTCCGTGTTGAGCTTCGGAGACAGATATTTCGACGAAAATAAGCTCACATTAATACAATGAATAGAAACTGAGTACGGAAGAAACTAGAAGGATGAGAGAATGAATGACTAAGTATAGAGGTTAAGAAGCAAAAGGAATAGAGACAGCAGAGCAGGAAGTTTACTTAAGCTTGCCTCCGGCAACAGATCGCTTCTTCGGGCCAAGATCCCTTTCTGATGCAAATGACTTGCAAGAACCCTGCAGAAGCAGTTCGGCACGACTTGAAATGATATCAGTTTTCAAACTGTGCACGATCATCCTATGAAATCGCCGATTATGTTACTTGGCAGCAGTAAGTCCTGGATAAAGTGGAAGTTCGTTCCCGCAACGGCTGTGGTTCCCGCATATCTGTTCAGTCCGGTCCACATTTTTTGGCGGAAGCGCATCCGACAAGGCCAAGAGTTTAGTTGGAAGAGCATTGGTCTTGGCACCTTATAGACGATAGATTTAAGTCTTATAAGGAAATGCGTCTTTCATGCTTGCTTATAAAAATTCTATTAGGAATGCGAATAAGAGTTTTCAATTGCTGGAAGAGCATGTTAAGGAGGTATAGGTAATAAGTAGAGATGATATTAAGGGAAGAAATCCTAAGGCGTGGGCGTGACTAGCGGTACGAGAGCAGAAGAAACAGAGCTGTAGGAGAAGGAGACATCACTCCAATCTGACGTCTAAAAATAAGGGGGCATTTTTTGAACGCTTGTTTTCTTACGATTTCCTGCATAGCAATCTGGGAGACATCTGGCTGTATACTAATATGTGTAAGATAGAAAATAGAGTGTCTTGAACGCTTCTAGTTCTCCAACCATGCATAAAACCTTCACTAAACTAAGAAATACCTATTGTCTTCAGAATTAATCTCGCGCATTAGTAAGGTGCGTTCAATATCCTAGAGACTCTTGGAACATTCAGTAGTCAGAACCCTATGTAATCTACCTGGGATAATGGCTATGAAATATCTGGAATCTGGATCGGTTACCAAGGAATTTACCTTGGGGAGAATAGTACGGAGTACCTACTTTCATCTGTCAAGTGAAGCAAGCCTCTTAACCTTTTGTTGTAACAAAAACATGACTTTTTGAGATTTAGGGATTCACTCGCTAACCCCTATATAAAACTCAACCCCTGGGAGAGTATGAGACATCGCACGCTACCTAATATAAAAGATAACCATGGCTGGCTTCGAGAGCCCAATCAATGGGTTCTCAGCGCGTTCCCAATAAGTTCCCAATGAGTTCCCTCTGCAATGACATTGTCGGGTTCCTATAGGATGAGGTTGGTCAAGCTCCCGATTGGTTCTTATTGAGACCTTCTCAATAAAGCTTGGCATATGCTCTGAGGATAAGGTTCAGTAACTATTCCAGCTTCTGTCCTCACTCGGTATGTCTGTTCCAATTCCAATTGGATTTCCGTATAGTGGGAATAGGTTGCCTTTCTCGAACACATTTTTCTAGTCAGAATTTGAGGAAAGTGGGTCCCGGGTGACAGAATCTCATAATTTGTTGCACATTCGCAGTTTTCATAATGAAAACCCATCCAAATCTCATTAAGAATTCATATGAGATTATCAACGAGCAACGAAAACACGTGGTTGTTTTATTCATAATTCACTTTTCTGTTGAAAATCGGGCGGGGAGGGACTCTGGCGGCCACACCGCAGTAATCTCACTCGATAGGCAAGTCAGCTTTACCATTCTATAGTATTGGGACATTACAATACTCCTTGACCTTAGCCTCTCTCGAGCCCCGAGTATCTATTTACTTACGCCATTTTCTCTGCTTTTCCGGACCGATCCAATTTCGAAAATGAAGCAGAAAGATCTGTGAAATTTCCATCACAATGGCCCGTGGTCTTTACTCTCTCAACGTTCCAGAACAGAGATCTCAGATCCATGACCATGATTTGTGGAGGCTATATATGAGAGAAGAATCACTCCATTAATTCACTTGAGAACCCTAGTGGTTTCGATCTGGAGTATGAGGCTGCTCACTTGTGCTCCTATGTATGGGGGCGGGGGAGGGGCTTGTGAGAGGCAAATTGAGGGATGAAAATTCCGATGTACAGTACAATTCAACAAAACTACTATTTCCAAGATTCACGTTCACTTTCCGCAATCTCATTATACTGGACAGTTCTGGGACATTGGCATGAGCCGAACAAGTCGATCAAGTCTTGATTTATCCAACGGGTTATGATCCGTGATTCCCTTATTCCGTCGACTACTAGAAGTTATTTCGGGGTTCTATTCTTATTCCTTGCTAAGTTAATACTACCTAGCTAATAGGCACCGAGATAATGCAGTGTAATTGCTTTAACAAGAGCTCGTTCAATAAAAATAAACAGGTTGAGGAGTGGGGCCCGCTATTAGGCACCGGAATAACTCATCGCACGTATAATAGTACTCTGTATGTATCTGCCTTGGGGATCTCATACGCAACCGCCCAGCGATTAATTTGTCATCAGTAAGCCCAAAAGCCAATAAAAGCCCATATATTTGCAACGTAGCGACAAATAGCTCACTCTATTCTATCCGAGACCGACTGTTTCTTACATAAGTATTGGCTGCGGAATATTTCATTCCCCTATATTACCAACCCGATCTCCTCAAATCCCACACACGACAATATTCAGAATGGCTGTCACAGAGATCGGCTGCATGGGCGTGAAGCCCAACATCAACATCATGGACCCCAGCACGCGCGAGGGCCGGATCATGACCGGAGCGTATGAGGCCGTCGTTTCCAAACCCGGAGGACCGCAGCAAGTCTACTGGGGCCTTGAGATCGAGAATCCGTTGTCAGTCTGGGCTTTCTTTGACTGGGATTCGGTCGAGGAGCACGAGGTGTTCGCCAAAGCGTAAGTCTTAAAGTCACCCCACCTAACGGACTCTCCCGGTATCTCCGGGACGATACTGTATGGAGGCTGAAAGGGTGGAAAACAGGTTCGGCGGCGAAGCGGTGAAGGAGCTTCCGACCATCTTAACGCATGGCGAGTTCACGAAGCACATCACCATGGAAAAAACGGAGCCTCTGGTCCTCCAGTCTCCTGTGACGGAAGTTATGCTCGCTTACTTTCCCTCGGCTATCTCGCCAGCTGGGAAAGACAAAGCTGCCGCACAGCTTCAAAAGTTTGTAGAGAAGAGTCTTGAAAATTGCTCCGATGTCATGGCAGTGAGCTACGGCTGGGGCGTGGAGAACGACTTTCCTGTGAGAGGAGGAGAGCTAGGACAGTTGGGGTCTCTTTTAACAGCGTTCACCGGCTGGCCTAGCATTGACGCGCACAGGAAGTTTCGGGAGACGGAGGCTTTTAAGGAGAGTGTGGATTTGATTAGGGATATGGAGGAGATTGTCAAGTTGGCGATGTTCCACGTTCGTTGCCAGAGCCTTGGAAAGGAAACAAAATAGGGAAGACTACGAAGTTTGCGAGGAAGCGGAGACCAGGCCGTCTAGCGCACATTAAGTAGAGCGAATTCCAAGATGCGGAAAGTTAACTATTCATTCTATCTAGACCTTTATCCACTATCTGCTTACTGTTCCTGGGAATACTCGTTAATACTTTAACTAATATAACAGGTGACTAGCACTACTAGGAGATATGGGTTATCGAGAGCGAGGGGAATGAGGGTGCATAAGAGGGAATTGTTGCTTACAAAAGTCTCGCCATATTGATTCCCTGTTCCCTTTTCTATCCTTTCCGTTGCTCGCCTTTTATAGATCTTTATTTTCTCTCCCTATTTCTTTTTTGTATCCGTGTCATTCATTCCCTGGTAGGTGCAAGGACAGGAAACCGAGGGCGGAGGCGGCCTTGGCAGAGATTCTCGGATTTGGCGGTGGACTTCCTGGAACTAACCCAAATGAATCGTCTGTCTCTTGAGTTTCTTTTCGAGCGTTTTCCAGTGGGGTGTTTCACCTGGACCGACCCATTCTCGATCAGCTTGCACCCACCCGCATCCCAAAGTGCAACAACCGACTCGCTCCGACAAGCCACTCATGTTCTGGTTGACCACCAACACCGTAAGCGAGGTTGTGAACCTTTCATCAGTTGGAAAATTCAGACAGATACATTTAAGTGATTTCCCATCCAGCTGTGACACATCCAAATCCCATTTTGGAGCAAAATAGACAGATTTGTTCTTCCAAATTTTGAATTTCAGGAAATAGCCGTCGTTGGGCACATAGAATCCATAGATGTCTCGACCTGTCTTGCACCCTTCGTTTTTAAGGTGTACAATGCCACATCGAAGTGTCCATCCTTTTATGTGAAGGATCTTCACGTTGCTCGTCGTTATTTTTGACAGGAATTTCAACCCGTGGTCTCACCTAGGAAATTCTTCGATGATCCCATTCTCAGTCTCGAGACAAAGTACAGTGTCAACAGGGTATTCATCTGCCCACATGAAACTACGTTCCAAAACACCGGTCCAACCAGCCCAAGACCACGACGGAAACTCGGGACGACGCTTTCCGGGAATTGAGTGACACCAGGAGAGACCTTTAATGAAGGAATCCTCTGGGACAAATGTGCCTGACGTCGCCGATAGAATAGGGACTCCCTCAATATGATAGACTGGGTACTCTGTTTTTGAGAACATTTGAAAGATACCCTGCATAGCATTGATCGCATCTGCAGGATAACTTAGCTCTCTTTTGCTGAAATCCGCGAGGAAGTGTATTATATCTTCGGGGTCCGATCCCGGTGTTTTCCACTCGAAGGCCCCTTGTGCCACGTACCATTTGAACATTGTCTTGTCTTCGGTGTGCAGCACGTCCAGGGGCAAAATCTGGGACTCCGCATAGTGCATGCTGTTGCATTCGAACAATACTTGGTCGTCGGTGAAGATGATTCTGCGCTTGGATAGAATGTTCTCTTGATAAGTCCAGCCTCGAGAGGCCCATTTTGAGTTGTTGACTGACCAGCTAGGATGGGGTAAAGTGGACGCAAGTAAATGGCCATGTATGCGAAGGTGAGGCTGCTGTTTCCTCAATGTGCCATTGACCCCTGGAAGACCATAACCTGGGCCATCGCCAGCTGCTGCAATGATAGTAGCCTAGAACATTCGGGTGTCAGCCGTTCCCCTCTCTAAAAATGTCCCATGAACAATTTGAACAACAGAAACTTTTGTGGAATGTGTTGGGAGTGCTGTACATGAAATGGACCAAGATTGTCTCCGAATCGGAGGATAGGAAGTTATGAATCCGATTGTACTTACTTTGGCATTAGCGTAAATCAAGTCCATTTGTCTTATTTGATGATGTTTGTCCGCCTCATCTAGTTGGTCGATACAGTATCGATCTACCCAAAGATACTGGAACATTAGTTTCAGTGTGACGTCGATGCTATCATTGATAACCTTTGGACAGTTGTCAAGATCTAGTAGACTCCGATCTGAAGTGCCTGTTGTTGATCCCCAGACATATGATAGAGCCAGGTACTGATAGCCTGGTCGGGCTACAACGACTTGTCGTGCTTTGCAATCGACCACTTTGAAGAAATTCGGAGCGCCATTGAGCTGCTGCTTACAAGCTGAACCGTGGTTCACCGAGCAGTATGAAATAGAGTCGCTAACAAAGTGAAAGTCGAAGGTTGCAGGCGAAATCATCCGAAACCCGATATTAGGACCAGGTCCAGGGGGCTGTATGGAGCTCAAGTAGCCCTTTCGACGGGCTGATCCACGTAGACCCGGCCTCAAAAAGAGGAGTAGTTTATCCTCTCCTTCGACACGATCATGCCGGTGGGAAGGGCCGGAAGGCCATCCCCTCCAATTTGAAAGAAGAACGTCTTTGGTCCTGGTAAGGATTAAATTACAACTCACAGTATTATTATCCGTATTCCACATCGTTGCAAACAAGCTGCACAGTGCGCAGCCAATAGCTAAACCTTGGGCTGACCCAAGATCCAGCACACGTTTTCTATTGTAAGGTACCCCACCCAGTCCTTTTCTGCTGAAGATTTCGTCCAAGTCAATGGTTTGGCATCTTGCGCACAGATTCTGCGCTTCCGACGGGGCGGCAGAGGCCATGGCTGCGTGACCGGTCCACCTCCTCTGAGAGGTTGAATGTGAACGTCTCTAGACTTTGGTCGAGATGGGCTGCAGTGGTTGGCTGGGAGGGGGGCAGCAAATAATGTTTGGAAGGAGCCTAGGATATCAAAGTTGGAAAAGCGTCGCCTTGCCAAGCAATATTTACGCAACGATCGCGAAGGGGATGGCAAGGTCTAGATCAAGCAAAGGACGAAGTAGGCACAAAGCCGTGGCAGGTAGAGGAAACAGGCTGAGGAACGTAGCAGAGTGTGTCTGGTGAGAGGATATGTTCAGACGAAAATGTGCATATACTCTCGCAGCGGGTCAAGAAGGTGAGGATGGAGTTGGGAGATGAGAGAAGGAAGATGAAGGTAGGAGAGGTAGATGAGGGGTGCGGTGAGCAAAGCCTTCTTGCAGGCAGCTGCAGCCTCGCGCCGTCTTCTGATCTCTCAGAACAATGGAATGAAAAATTGGCTAACATGTGACACTGCCACAGACTTGAGCATGCAAACTTGCTTTTGCAGACGTAGAAACAAATCATCATCGCAAATTGCAGCCTTCTAGGCTTCCTCTCGAAGTCGTGAAACTTGCTGGGCTTTGGTTGGCTGGTGGCTCGGACCCTCTGACTTCGCGTTCCCTGCAGGCACTCAACGCGCCTCGCGTGAAGCTGAACCTCGAAGGATCACCGACTCCAACCTCCTCTTCCTCCCCAATCCTCAACTCAACTCAATTCAAACCACAACCCAACTCAATTCAAACCACAACCCAACACTCAAGCAAACTGTCTCTCGCACTCCTCTTCCGTCGTCCGTCCCACCGTATAATCATGTCCCTAAAACGCAAAGCCTCCACCCTTCCCACCTCCGGCACAGACGCCAAAAAGCCCAAAGCAAACGGCAGCATCACGTCCTTCTTCGGCCCTCCCAAGACCGTCTCCACGACCCAGAAGCCAACCGGCACGGGCACGAACTCCGTATCTTCCTCTCCGGCACCAGCTACGCCGGTATCGAAATTCGACAAGGAGGCATGGGTGAAGAAGCTCACGCCCGAGCAGAAGGAGCTGCTGAAGCTGGAGATCGAGACCCTGCATGAGAGCTGGTTGAAGGAGCTGAAGGAGGAGATTGTCAGTGATAGCTTCCTGGAGCTGAAGAAGTTTTTGAAGCGGGAGGCGGAGGGTGGGAAGAAGGTGTTCCCCCCGATGGAGGATGTCTATTCCTGGTTTGTCGCTGCCTCCTATTTACCTCTTTGCCACGCCGATGGGAGCAAGGCTGATTGGTACTGCTGCAATAGGTCCCGCCACACCCCCCTCAACACGGTCAAGGCCGTTATTCTTGGCCAGGACCCTTACCACAACCACAACCAAGCCCATGGCCTCGCCTTCTCGGTCCGTCCTCCGACCCCTGCTCCCCCGTCCCTGAAGAATATCTACACCTGCCTCAAGAACGACTATCCCTCCTTCTCCCCACCCCCAAATAAGGGTGGCCTGTTGACCCCCTGGGCTGACCGCGGCGTCCTCCTCCTAAACACCTGCCTCACGGTCCGCGCTCACGAAGCAAATTCCCACGCAAACAGAGGCTGGGAGAAGTTCACGCAGAAGGTTATTGAAATTGTTGATAAGAAGAGAATGGGAGGGGTGGTGTTCTTGGCGTGGGGAACGCCGGCGGGGAAGAGGGTTAGCAAGGTGGATAAGAAGAGGCATTGCGTGTTGATGAGTGTGCATCCCAGTCCGTTGAGTGCCAGTCGGGGCTGGTTTGAGTGCCAGCACTTCAAGAAGACGAATGCTTGGCTTAAGGAGAGGTATGGCGAGAAGGGGGAGATTGATTGGAATTTGGATGTTAAGCCTGTTGTTGCTGGGATCTGAGGAGGGCATGGCGTTGAGACCAGTAGTGTTGGGGTGTTGAAGTCAGGAGTTGGAAAGCGTCGAGCAGTCCCACAAAATGTGTTGGAGCTGGGTGTCATTCATTGGCCAAGTCCCTTTGTGTTAAATTTTCTCTTTTTCAATTCGGATCACAGAGTAGGTGTTAGGTGTCTATCTTCGAGGTCTAGAATCCATTTGTCATTGTTTCATCCATCTTGCCGTTCCTCCGTGATTATTTCCGCCATCCCACCGCCATGAAAGGACCCCTTCTTCCCACTTTCAATCTCCACAACCGGGGTTTCAACTGCCTCTTCAATTCCAAAGTCATGCCTCTCATGCCCTGTTTCGCTCCCTCTAAACCACAATATGTATCCCTACCTGGCCCAGTTCTTCCTGTCCTTTGTTCACACCTGCTCAAGATGTTGTCACCGGTTGTGTTCCTTATAGTGCTCGTAGAATGGGCGACAAGAGATGACTTCTGTCATTATCCACTGTCGAGGTAGGAGAAGAGCATAAAGCAAACTTGCCTGGACAGTATGAGAATTCGGGAGACAGGAAATGGGATGTCCTGGTATCCGGTTTCGCGTGACTTTTCTCGTCCGGTGAAATTTGAAAGGGGTATTGTCAAGAGCACATTTGCTGCCAATCACTCCTTCATTTCTCTCTGCATATCATAAGGCAAGCAATTTTTCTCGTCCGGTGAAATTGAAAGGGTATTGTCAAGTGCAAATTTGCTGCCAAGCAACTCTTTCATTTCTCTCTGCATATCACAAGGCAATTTTCCAAATGCGATCTCAGTATGTCGGGCAACCACAATATCCCAACGGATCTAGCACACGCATCGATAAACCATCCTACCTTGTGAAATCTCAGCCTCTCCACGAGACTGACCTCGATTTCTTCGGCCTTCGCCATTTTGTAATGGTACACTTACAAAGAAGTTCGGTTTTCGAAGGCGTCCCATTTCTATACTTTATTCTACGTTCTAAACGAATCTTTCTTTGCTCTACGGCAAGCATGGAGGAGGGGAAGGGGGTTTAGGATTTCTGCGCATCGTGGCCCCAGTTCTTCAAGCTCCTGTAGGATTTGCTGCTGGTATCCTTCTTCGCCGTCTCCTCTTGCGCCAGATGGCGTTTACAGTACGCGACGACGCGACGCATGTGCGCTACATCCTCTTGTCTATCCATCAGCGGCGTGTTCATTCGCTTTTCTCATCTAGCGTAAGAGTTACCTTCATCATACCCCTCTGGATCCCTTCCAGGATTCTTCTTCAGGATCTCGATGATCTTTCGCCCACTGCTAAAATATTAGTACATGGGTTTGGATGGTTGGTTTGAAGGGAAAGGGGGGAGTGAGATATACGATTCGTGCCCAATACTCTCTCCGCTGCCATCATCTTTGGACCAGCCAGAGGAGGTGGAATCGTCGGACTTGAGCCAGGTCTCGAGATCGCTGGCTGACATGTTTACTAGAGTGTTGAATTCTCTGTGTTAGTTTGCGAGTCAGCTTCGGGTAGTTGACGAGGAGAGGGAGGGAAAAGGAATGCGAGTGGAGGGGAGCGAGGTGTGAAAGGGGGGTTACAGGAGATAGGGGGCAGGGGGACGTACTCGATCACAGTTTCGCTGTCTTTGACCATCTTGACGGAGCTATTCGGTGTCGGGCGGTGATGCAGAGCCGTTCAGAACGGAAAGAGTCGGAGAGAACTTGTGATTGTGGTGTTGTTCAACTGTGAAAGTGATTGAAGTATTAATGTTGAGGTTTGGGATAAGTGAGCCTGTGTCTTGACGTCATGCACAGCTTATTGACCACACAGCTCTGGCAGAAGAGATTCGTCCCACTCAGGGGTTACAATAATTCATTGTCGTTTTCTTGCTAAACTTGCTGGGAGATGGTGTGATTGTTTTATTGGCTTTGGTGTTCTGTGGTATCAATGAGAGGCAGAGGGGCCGCATATGTCGAGGCTCAAATCCGTTGCCTCGTCGCTTGAGGAAGTTGGCTTTACTGCAACCACCGCGTGGAGCGGATGGTTCAATGCAGGGCAAAAATGGCATATTCACAAGCCCTCGCCTCTCTTAGATCTCCGTGAGTTATACTTGCAGCATGTGCAACATACCTGCAATTCTGAAAAGGCGCCTGGAAGCTGTTCCGAATACCATATATGTCGGGAAGACAGTCTGTTCCTGGAGGATACCGGACTTCGAAGTCGTTTCGTATTAATTCTTCTTCCTCGTGATTAAGTTCAAGGCCACAAGGTCTGAATAAGAAGTAATCTAAACCGTCGTTCACGCGAATGTCGGCAACAAAATCGCCAGGCTGTGCCACAATTGGAACCCGAGCTACTATCCTTTTACTTTTAAGCACGGCAACACACTCATTTCCACTGTAGCATGCGGCTAGAAGTACCAAATTGCGGAGACACAGTCGGATAAATAATTCCCTAAAATCGGGATTGTATCCTCGGTAGAGAAGTCCGGACGTCGTTGATAATTCAGGCCATTGGGATATGGCGCTGATGACTTTGTGCCAAAGACAGGTATCTGAAAGCGATGCTCGCGCCCCATATTTATTATTAATAAATTGGTATAGGAAGACGCTTGCCATTGACATAGTGAAATCAACGAGGGATCGTCGGGCACGCAGAACATTGTCGTCGCTTTTCGAGATCCAGTCCAAGATATCCTGCAGCATTGAGTCGTCCAGCTCCATTTCCATCTCCCAAGGATCAGTACTAATCGAGGAATTAGAGGAATTAAGAATCGTCGGCCAAGATGACGCGGGAATGATTGAGTCTATTGGGCCGCAACTGCCCCCGCATACAGCCAGAACGTGGGGAACCGCCAAAGAGTGAAGTCTGAGACTGTGTTGCGTAAAGCTAGAGCTACTGTCGTAGCTGTCTGCCCACCGGGGTTCGGACAAGGACCAGTCAACGACCCAGGAAGGAAGAGATGGGTCGCGAAGTTCTGGTTCAACCCCAGCAAATTGTAATATATTCCAAATACCAATCCATTGTACATATAACTCACTCATACTCGTGTAAAGTTGAGCAACGGTCTTCTCGTAATCGATGGGAACCATATTTCTTGTCCCGGCACCCACAAGTCCAAGATGAGCATAGATCATATCCCTCGGATCAGACAGACTGCACCCTCCCCGGGCACATACGAGTTCAAGGAGGTCCTTGCCTGGCGCCTCCTCATTAAGCTTCTCTGAATGACTCTCGCGGTCCCTTCCGGCCCGGATCCACCTCTCACTCATATGAGTCAAAACTCTGAGGCTGTCTGGCCTCCACGAACAATGTTCTGATAGCAAAACAGTCCTGTAGAACATTTGCCATCTGACACGAGATCTCCCACACTGAAGCCATGGATCTTGCGAAAGAACAAGTTCCTGGAGGATCCACACTCTAGTGAACCACGGCCTAGAAAGAATCTCGTCTTCCACAATAGTCTCAAACTGGCGCGTTGGTATTTCTTGGGACGAAATGCCCAAACTCTCTTCACTTTGCACAGGTGGCTGAGATCCAGTGGCGATCGACTGCAAAACAGAATCGCATTGCGGTGATGATAATCCCAGGAAAATAATCGTGTGTTGTGCAATTGAATAGATATCTCCCATCAATGGCACCTGTCGATTGCGCTCATGAACATCCTTTTGGTTGATACAAACGCCATCCGCCCACACACGAAGAACTCTGCGATGGTCCCGGACGTGGCGAAGAGCCGAGTCGAGCGATGCCGTAATCTGGAGCCGCTTCCCATCGACTGATATTGTTCGTGTATCGTTCTGATCTCCCCACACATATGATATAGCAATGTAGTGATCGCAGATGTCGTCTCGATATTCGGCCAAGGTTGCATCCTTGAGAGAACACTCGATGCCTGCTTCCAGGTCCTTGCAAGGCTGGAGGTGGATCAGTCTGATGGCATCCGGACCATTGAGTTGAGAGTACTCGTACTGGTCGGCGTCATCGGCCGCCATGACAACTGTTCGTCCCTGATGTCTTGAAAGGTGGCTCTTCCAGACCAATGGTGTAATGTCGAAGTCGAGGATTGACCGCTCTAAAGTTTCGGTGCCTGAACGCTGAATTCCATCCCGCTCTGAGACAGGGAAAGCTGCGAGCCTTGCCCAACTTCCCGTGATCAGACGCGTGGTTGCATGTGATTGGAGGTGGCGCGATATCACCTGACGTGGCACTCAAGCCTCACAGCGACGCGAACGTCAGGAACAGGACTTCTCGGGGCTCCACTGGATGAGCCGCCAGGTTCGGGGTTGGATAGAAAGCACGCTTCTGCGGACAAGACTTTGAGGCGCATGAACAAGCGTGGCCACATAAAGCTATGGACTGTGCGGGCTTGGAGCACTCTTTCTGCAACGCCGGGCAGGGCTTGAGCGGGCGCATGATATTTCTGGCCCCTTTTTGCTTCTTCCAACAGCGACACTATATCTGGATCAGCGGTGGGTGACTGGTCTCCACACATGGACGGGAGCGACATGCCGCACCGGCGCTGTAGGGGGAACGCGGATGGGCATCTCATTTATATTGGCTGCAGCGCGGAAGGAGATGGGCTGGGACAGGATGGGACAGGATGGACTCGAACGAGAGAGAGAGCGAGAGAGAATATGGATGGCCCAGAGGATGTGCGTTGGCAGGTCGGGAGTTGGGGGTTGGGGGTTGGGGGTTGGGAGTTGGCGTGCTGGCTGCCCGGCCGCGGGACAGGGGTTCGGCTGGCTGTGACGCTTCACTCCGTGGATCCTTCCATCTCTCGCCTCTCGCTTCACGCTTCACTGACTGGACTGCACCTCGTGGAGGGCAGCACCCAGCGACTCCTGGACAGCAATGTGTTCATATAGCAGGCCCATTATGACTTCTGAACCCAATCCGAGCAGGCCATCTCTGCACAAAAATAGTCCTCCCATTCGGCCCAGCGAGCGGGAGCAGCAGCATACTCACCCGGGCGTCTCAGCATCCCCCGACGTCGAGGGCCCTCCTCCAAACCTCCTCCCCTCCACCTCCACCTCCATCACCACCTTCCTACCTGCAGAGAGAAACATTGCTCTGCATCTCCAAGAGCACGCCAATCGCAGCATCAGACCGCCGGGCCTCTCCACCCGCTGCACAGTGACCTGCCTCTGCGTCCGCTCTGGTTCCGGCTCACCGCCTGCCTATTCGTCGAAGCCACCGTGCGCTGCTCCCAATCTCATCTCCAATCTCTCTGCTACCCCTGAATCCGTATCCGTCCCGATAAACTTTTGCTATCCCCCTATCCCTATCCACACTTGGTCGCGTACAACTCCCAACTCCTCTTTTTTGCTTCAACCCTCGCCGTCAGGTCGACAATCCACGCACGCCCGCCCCAGACACAATCTGCATCTGCATCTTGTGCCTGCCTGCCTTTCGATAGCCCCGAGGCGGACGATATAATTTCCGGCCTGCAGTCTGCAGTCTGCGCATCGCACTGCCGCGACTTTTTTCCCACCCTGTCCCCTGGCCGAATGCATTGCGTCTAGACACTCCACCACCACCTGCATTCGCAATGCCGGGCTTCTTCTCGAGGCTCAAGGGCAGAGATGGCCCTTCGAAGGTCAAGAAGGGCGCACTGCAGCCCGCCATCGATGCTGCTCCCCCGAAGCCGAGATGGGAGGATGCATGGTCGCGCAAGACGATTGAGCCGCAGGAGGTACAGGAGCTGCTCCACGGCTGCACCGTCGAATTGAAGGCACGAGGTACGAGTATGATCGATATCGATAGCATCCCGCTGTCGGACCTGCAGGAGCCCACTGTTTGCAAGACCTCTCTCGCGTTACACGAACTAATTTCTTCCTCTAACAGCGTTGGACACTCCCTTCCTCATCCTCCCATTCCGACCAACGTCAGATCCAAGCGCAGCGCGTACATTTATTAGGCATTACTTTGACAGGAGTCAACAGCTATATGGAGAGGTTTTGGCACAAGAGCTACGGCTGACAGACCCAATGGTGAGGATGGATCGATGCGGGGATACGAACAAGAGCTAATGGGCGATAGGTTCTGTGCAGTGTGGTCAAATGGTGCTGGAGTAGACTGCCCGGAGGTGTTGTAGGATGGGAGGCGTACGATCTGTTCAGAGTGGGCGAGCAAGGTAGGTCAATTGGATGCGCAGAACTGGACATGAGCTGATCAAGTTTCCAGACTCGAATATGGCCCGAGACTCGTTTGCGACTTTTATACCCCTGAGTGTGGACTCGAACGCGCGAGCTCAAATTATCTTCGATTTCTTCGACCTGCTTTCAGCGATTGCAGCACACGCAAAGACGAACGGTCTTGGAGGAAGAAAGTTGTCAAGATTAGCAGGCTGGTGGGCCTTTGAACATTCTGATATTGGCAATGGCTTTGAAGGGGGATATAAAACATGGGCTTCGTAAGACCAAAGTCCACCTTACCTCCAACAGTTACTAATACTGCATCAGAGCTGCAGATGCTGCCAGCCACCTATTCTTTGCCTACCTCCGATCATTGTCGCCTCAATCAGTTAAAGGCATTAATGGAATCTCGAAGCTCCCAATGTCCCTCCAGAAGCTCGTTCAAGAAACCGAATACCCACCAGAACGACCATCGTTGTTGCAATCGACAACTACAAAGGTGGTCATGATTGTAGATTCCGTCTCACCTACACCATTTATGCTCTTGCGCCGAGCCAATCACTTCCAATATCGAGACGACGATAGAGCCCTACAAGATTTTGCGGAATACGAGGATCCAGTGAAGGCTTTGACAGATGAATGTCGTCGTGTTCTGCGGTCAATTTCCTCGGCAAACCAGTCCCAAGTCTCAACCTCCAAGGAGTCGACTGGATTAAGCGATGCATCATGGTCTAGATTCGAGGATATAGGCTTCTCTGCCACATTCGACGAGCAGGATGAGGATGAGGATGACGAGAGCAATTTTGCCAAGAGACGTCCACAAGGTCTAAGGACGACACCACACTCGAGGAATATGGGTATGGGCAGACCGACTACACCATCCTGGGCGGATTTCCTTTCTTCTGGCTTCGTTGACGAAGCGACTAATGGTCCAGCACCTCTATTATTACCGCCCGACAAGATTCTGCCCCCTATTGACACCCGTGGACGCAGCTCCCAGTCGCATAGGCCTAGACTCGAAGCGAATCGCAATCTCGAACCTGGCGAGCTGGCAAGTATCGCCCGATTCGACCTTGACGATTCCTTTTGGTGGGTATGGATTAGCAGTTTGGCTGGAGAGGAAGTCGCGGAGAGAAAGGCTACTTTTGGACGTTGTGCACTAGTGGAGACAGTGATTCCTGGAGGACGATGGCTCGTAATGGAAGAGATGGTCAAGGGGGCTGCACCAGCCCCCGAAGAAGGCGCCTATATTGCAGAGAAGAAGAGTTTCTGGGGCCGATCAAAGAAGAACAAGGCTATGACTCGGAGAAAGTCCACCGGAAAGCAATCTCTGGAACAAAATCCCAACCTCCGGCCAGGATTCAAGACCAATCAAAGTGTTGGAGTCAGCAAGACTAGCCTTGGTCCAGATCAGCATGCTCGGATTCAGGCAGCAGCAATCCAGCTTCAACAGAAGCAGAGGCAGCAGGAACAGGAACAATATAATTCGAGAAGAGGACGGAGTGATGTGGATAATTATTCACAGAAGACCAATAGCGTTTTCACTCTTCAGCCAGTCATCATGAAGGAAGCTTCGCCGGCAATGAAATGGGCAAATACATACGACAAGGAAGCCATCAGAGAAGCCTATCTCGCCAACGCCAATCATGGGCGAGGTCTCGCCGAGGCAACCATGCAAACGAATGGTCACGCCAAGAGTCAGGATACTCTGAGGCCGGCTCAAAACTTGCAGCGCGAGAACTCGCGGGACAGAGAGCTCCCAGCTGTGCCAACGTCATCAGTGGGACCAGCCGTTCCCTCAAAGACAACTTCTCCGCCCTTCTCACCGAGCCCAGCGCCGGAACAAGACGAGCCTCATCTCTCTGAAAAGGAAGTCGAAACGGCACCACCTCAAGAACCCCATCCCGTAGAACGGAAACCAATTCAACCCCGCATTTCGTCCAAACCTCAAGAGCCCCGCGTTGAACAGCCAAGTGTCGAGCTCCCAAGAGAGCCCCCAAGATCTTCAGTCGATCAAAGCGGGTCCAGCCCCGAGAGCAAAGCCAAGCACAACAAGCTCAAGAAGAAGACGGAGCCTTCCAGCGGCGGCGGCTTCAGAAAGATGTTCGGCCGCAACAAGAACCGTCAATCCAAGGTCCCTGAAAATGCAGGCGAAGTCATCAACGGTAGCCAGAACCTCCAGCCGGCAACCACCGGCATAGGACATCGATTCTCCAGGAGGGGAAAGAGCCCGGTCGCCTCTCCCGCCTCCGAAGCAGCTCCATCCGAATCCGGCCACCGGGTCTCCGAAGACGACACCACGCCGGTCGCCTCGCCCCAGCACTTCGAGCGCTCGTACGACCCGTCTATCCAAGACACCCTATCCCGAGTCGACACAAACGATGCACACGAAGCTCATCAAGCCTTTTCTAGCTTCGACCAAGGACCCCTTGAAGACGTCCCTGCGTTCGTACCAGAAGACTCTCCAAGACACAGCGAAGACGATGTAGCTATTCCGCCAAATATCTCGAGAGTGAGAACAAACGATGATGGTAACGATTTGACGAAGGAGGTTAGTCCTGTTGGAGACAGGTGGGCACAGATCCGGAAGAATGCGGCTGAGAGAGCCGCGCAACGACAGAGCGAGGAGCAGAGTCGGGGCGGGCAAAGCCAGAAGACGGATGGGGATGATGGGGAAACTAGTGGGGAAGAGAGTGAGTCCATTGCCTCCTCGTTGCCTTTTTCCTTTTGCGGCCGTTCAAACGGAAACTAACGTGGAATAGCCATCGAATCCCGCGTCGCCAGAATCAAAGCCCGTGTAGCGGAGTTGACGGGCAATATGGATACAGGCAATAGCCCGGCTGTCGCCCCGAGACCTACGAGAAGAGCATAGACTCATTCCGAGTCCTTTTTACGGCATTTCTTTCCTTTTCAGGAGGGAACGAAGAGCCAAAACAACGAACGAATTCAACTGTCACATACATCGACCGATCGCACATTCCATCCTTCCATTACAGCGCGCACGCAATACAAATGCAAAGAAAGATTTCCTGGAGCCAAAATCAATTTTCGTTTCTTGTCCTTCCTTCCCGGCTGTTTTTACACAATGTGTGTAATGTCAGGCACGCAAACGAAAGTGCTTTCTTTTTCTTTTTGCCCCTCAGAGATACCACCAGATTGCTAGCGATCTCTCTTCTTTTGACGTTGTTTGTTGGTGGAATAGTATTCTCTGGTTGCGCTTAGTTTGGAAGTTTGGAAGTTTGGGGGAAAATGTACAACGGGTGGAAATTTTGATGGAGAGGAATGGGAGTGGAGGGGGGAGGGGAGCAAAGGATTAGATACCAATTGTGAGAGGATGATAATTGATCTGTTGATTGCAGCCGACGTCTTGACTTGGTGACTTGGACTCGTACGATGAGGAGCGTGTGTAGCCTCTCCCTCTCCATGGCAAGGACTTTATTGTTCATCTCTCGAGGCTGTCGCAACCTACTGGTCGCCTCGCCGACATTCCCCAGTCCGGATCTGACTTGCTCCAACTCCTCGCGCCCGAGGGCTCACTAGCTCCCTCCACCTCCCCCACCTCCACCGTCATGGGGTCCAGACAACTCAAGGCGTTCTGTTGCTAATCAAGCATCGGGAGGCGGCCCGATGGCACTGGCTTGTAAGACCCACCATCGGCAACCCTACATCGTTGAGCAGCACGGTGTTCCAGTGCCTAGGAGCACAACCGGCTCATATGTCCCAGGCCCCGGACAGCTCTTCGATTGCAAGCATGTGGCGTATCACAACCTCAACCAGCCAGTCTTACCAAACTCTTACATCCCGTCTTCAACACCTCCCCGCGAAACGGACCTGGCCAGAAGCACAACCGTCTCAGAGAGCTTGGAGCACACTTCCTTACAACAACAATACAACGCCGAACGAGCACGATCAGTTGGAGCGCACTGCTAGGAGCACAACCGGCTCAGAGAGCTGTGGAGCACACTTTCTCGTGACTCCGCCACAGCGTGAAAGGAGCACAATCGTTCAAAAACATACTTCTAGGAGCACAACCGGCTCAAGTGAGCTGCCGAGCACGTGTGCACCAGGTGTGGCATCGAAGAAGAAGCACGCACAATTCCCCAGAAGCATGGCCAGAACATATGCAAACAAGTGCCTTTCACTCTACCCTAAGCATCGCTTACTAGCCTACACACATATCACTGGAAAGCTGTCAAATACATCTTGGACTCCACAAATACAAAAGGATGGCTGGCTCAGAAGTCTCCGCATATCTAGCTCCGTCGATGACAAAGGACTAGGTACGCAACCGGCCCAAGAAGCTGTCGAACATACTCGCCTCTCTCGACGACAGAGGTCGAGTTGTACTGTACGCTGCATTTCTTCATGAACAGTCAGCTCGGAGAGCAAAGCATGCTCCACGGTGTCAGTATCATAACAAAAGAGCTCGGCAATCTTGAACAGCGCCACCAGCTCAACGAGCTCTCCCAAAGATCAAACTCGGTTACAACGTCTCTCATCAGCGGCTATGCACCTTTACACAGAAGCAGCTCCAACAAAACCGAGCACATGCGCACTGCCCCATCTGCCAGGGGGCTATAAGTAGACTATTGTGCAGAGTTGAGTTTTTTTTTTTGCGGGGTCTGGAGGAACTATAAGATCAGGTGACTATTCGAGAAGTAGTCTGTTTTGAATTAGGTCAAAATCCAGTTTCATATTAATCATCTATCGTAAGGGATCGTTCGAGTTTTTAGTACAGGATTGATTAGAGAAACACATATTGGAAAATATATTATTTGGAAACTGAAGTCGATTAATGGATATTGAGAATCAAAGCAAGTTGTCGGAAAAGTATTCTAAGTTTAAATTCTTTCGAGCCTTCTTCTTCATCTCCGCAGTGTCCTTCTTGAAGCTCAAATGAGCTTCATCAGGCGACACCTGCTTGGGGACAATTTCATCCGTAGAGTCCTTCCACAAGCAACAACGCCCCCAGTAGTTCAAGGCTCTCTCCTCGTCGATATCTATTTGCTGATAACGAGATTTATCTTCAACTGTCTGATGCTGCTCTGCTTCCTTGTGTTCCTTCTCCGCTCTCCAGAAAAAACAATGACACTTATCTCTTGGGTCTTCTGAGTTTGCCTTGCAGCATTTGCAGGAGCATATCTTGCATATTCCTGGAACTGTACTTGAGGACATTTCCGTTTTTGAAACGGTTAGTGGCTGAAGACTATTGCAGGTGTAGCGGGTTGTGAGAGAACGCATCGGGTTGGCGAGTGTTTACAAATCGCCTGCCTTTTTGAAAGTATGCAGATCGGGTCTTTACACAGCTTTGAGGGGTATTGTTTTAACACAAGTTGCAACTTTCTTTCTTACAACGATAAAGAAGATTCAACGAGATTCAGTTCATAGAGACTTCTTTGACCCAGATTAGCTTTCTCAATACTTGAAGCAAACGCGAGTCTTTGTTCGTATTCCGAGCATGCAAAAGCCACAACGCGCCGAAAACCTCCTAAATATATGAATGGCATTGTCAATTACCTTGAAATCAAAGAAACGTGAGAAAATTCATTGGTCAAGACCTACTGTGCACAAAGAAATTCGCTTGGAGCTTCATGTGACATTCAAAATCCACCGGGTCTCGGCGTGAACTTGTTCTCCTGGCAATGCAGCATGGCACTTATCCGACATTCAGGATTGAAAAACAAGTAATGTGAATACTCCCCAGATGTTTTAATTCTAATCTTAAAGACGAATAAAGCCCTGGGTATTATTTGTGTGGATCATGCTTTCTTTCAAGAGCAAGTTAGTTTTATACAGCGCTATCTGCAGCACTAACATAGGAGGTTTGTTCTATGTTCTATATGGCCATTGGAAACTTTAGTTTCCGTATGTGAAATCTATTTGAAAGCTTTTTAAGTTGACCTACTCTTCTCAAATCTAGATAAGACGAGCTGTCGGGTCGGACTCGCCTTTCATGAATTAAAGTCGAACACTTGTGAACTTCTCATCTTCACGAGATTCACTCAGCCATCTCAATGCAAAGTTTCCAACCCATCTCGTAGTCACTTGATTAAGGGCTTAACCGAGGAGTACAAAAGCTTTCGCACTTTGTCCTATTTGCAAATTCTTACTCGATCTTCCTCTTCGGCATAGCTGCTAACACTCACCCTCCAAACCTCAACCTTCTGGGTCAAGGCCTCCTCTCAACCAAACTGCTTTGCACGCTTTGCATTCGAGTATCTGACAATCGGTTGTTTGGCTTTCGTGCATCCTGCATTGACCTCGTCACTGATTTGCCTCCAAACTCCCGCCCTTCAAGTCCCTCAGCCACAAATCTTCGAAAACTTTCACTCGAGTTATTTGTGTTCATCCCGAATACAAGCCAAGATGTTCCCCAAGGTCCTTCTTACCGTCACTTTCGCAGCCATCGCTGGAGTCGCAACCGCCAAGCCGATCGAGGCCCGAGACATTGACCTCGGTGGACGACCCATTCCTGTATGGTACTGCTGCATCAATAACTGCCGCAACTGTTGGTGGACCCAATGCCAAGGCAACCCTGAAGGTTGCGCCAATTCGGTAAGTCCTGTCGCCTAACAATCTCGACTTCTTCTATATACTAAATTTCGTCTAGTTCTTCCCGAGTTGCTGCGGTATGATGGTCTTCGGCAAGAGAGATGAGGATATTGACAAGCAACACTACAATATGAAGGGCGAGTTGGTTGAGTTTATGAGTCTGACTCTCGGGCAGGATGGCAAGAGAGACGAGGATGGTGGCAAGCAATATTACAATGACGGTGGCGAGTTGGTTGAGTTTGTCACTCTCCCTTCAAAGTAGATGCTTGCTGGTCGTCTCAAGGGGATGGACATACATCTGATTGGGAATGACTTATTGAATGGATGAACATCGAGTGCTTTGGAGCTGAGACATTTCCGGAGACAGTCGCGCTGCTTTCGATTCACATTGCCGGGAGACTTTGGGTTTCCGGTTGGGCTAGAGATAGCGAGGAGTCGCAACGCAAGCAGGCTTTACCGATCATAACGTCCCTAATTTGCCGTGAGCTTTTAAATGTCCGAAGTGACATTTGCAGGTTAAGAACTTATGGCCGTCGTTAATCTTGTGACTATTCATGTCGGCCAAGAAGTCGTGCTTTGCACCCTTGCTGTTGCAATGCAGGTCCGTCAATGGTGCTGACGCGGGCCAAGGGGCAGAGTTTTCGGGGCCTGAAAGTGACTAAATAAGCTGAATATGCTCATTATAGTGCATCATTTAAGTCCACCAAAACCCACCGTCCAAAGTTCTTGTACTACATGTACTTGTCGTTTCACCAAAACCTCTTGGCGGCTTTCCAGAAAATGTTTTCACTCCTCCATCTTCTAATTCTTCCCTTTTTGTGTCTTGTAAATGCTCTCACCAATACCACAAACCCACCAATCCGCCAAGTCTATACTTTTGGCCCAAATACTTTCATCGAACAGATCGCCGTGCGTTCTAACTCGCACATCCTTCTCACATCCGAAAGCGTTCCCACACTCTTCACACTGAACCCACTCCTCATCTCGCCAAACGCCAGTGTCTTGTCCACATTTCCAAATGCCACGGGTCTGAGCGGCATCACTGAGATCTCACCAGATGTCTTCGCTCTCGTATCTGGCGTTTGGGATCTAGTGAATACCCGCGCGACATCCTTGAACATCTGGACCATCGATCTCTGCCCTCCCTCCCCGGTCATCAAGCACGTCACCGCCATAGTGAATTCCACCATCTTCAATGGAATGGCTGCAATTCCAGGGACGGATCTAGTTCTAGCTGCAGACTTAGCCCTGGGTGCTGTTTGGCGAGTGAACATCCGTACTGGTGCATATGGGATTGCTTTCTCAGACTCTTTACTTGCACCCTTAGGAACAGATCCAGGAACGAATCTTGGAATCAATGGTATACGTGTCTCTGCCAATCGAAAATGGGTATATTTCGCCAACTCAGCGCAAGGATTCTTCGGGCGAGTGCCCATTTCACGTTGCGGAGAGAAGGTCGGAAATGTGGAGGTGATTGCGAGTGTGGGAATTCTGACAGGTGTTGCTGGGGTTCATTTCGATGATTTTGCGCTAGACGGGGAGGACAAGGCGTGGATTGCGACGCATCCCAGTGATGTGATTGAAGTGCAGGTTGGGAAAGGAGTTGTAGCTGATATTCAGAATTCAACCTTGTTGCTGAATCCGACGAGTGCGGCGTTTGGACGAGGTGCGGAGAGGGAGAGGAGGACGTTGTATGTGACGAATGGGGGGACTTTTGTGGGAGATACTTTTGAGCTTGTGGAGGAGGGAGTTGTTGCTATTGATTTGTGGAAGGTATGAGATGCGTCTGGTACGAGAGGTAAGCGCCGCAGCAGTCAGTAAAATGTTGATCGTATTGGTATGTTGACTGAAAAAATGGCTTCGGAGAGGTAACCAGTGTGGCATTTGATAACAGTATCATGGACCAGAATTTTACTTTACATCCATCTGCTTGCCACTTGAGGGTCCGGAAGCCCTTTAACATATGCCGCCAGTCTTGACTCTGTCATGACCTTGATCACTGGAAGTCGCATGGTAGATATCTCTGCATTATGATCAGGTGTCCGCTCCTCAACGCAGCCTGTACCACCTCAATTCCATACGTTTCATCGTCGGGATCTCCTCCTATTATGATTAACTCCTTCAATCCGCCAAAGAGCAGGGACTCGGGCCCAGGGAATAGATCCCACCTATATCCTCAATAATCTCCAAATGGATGGCAAGTTTTAAGATGTTGTCGATTTTGAGCTCACCAAGTTCAGCACTTTGGAGGATATTTAACAGAAAAGAAGCGCCGCCGGACAGGTACCTAATGCCACAAGCTGGCTGGAAACAAACACCAGGAGATGTGATTTCGGCGTCGGGAACAACAGCTTGCCGACGTCCTTAACAATGTACTATATGCCCCCCATTAACTGAAGTGGAAAAGCAAAAATCGAATTGTTTAAGAGCCATCTGGCGAGATTAATTGCATGCAAAAAGCAGCGCCACCAGACTTCTTAGTCCAGGAATCTTATGCAGCTTAGTGAAAGCTGGCGGGGTCATATAGAACCTGTTATAGTAGGCGCGGCTTTTGAAGTCCTCTCCACGATCAAGATGAACTTGACAAAGGAACTCATTTTACGAAGGCCGACTATTATGAGTCGAGGCATAGGTAATGAAAATTACCAATTCGGATTCCGCAGCTCGCCTGGGAGTTTTGGGAAGAGATCGAATGTCTGTCTCGAGCGGCACCCACTGCGCCCTAGCTCGTAACGTATCGACCTGACACTTGCATGAACAAGGCAGTATTTGGCATGCAATTAGGCTTCAAATGTGAGGGTAAAGTTGATATAGATTGAGATGCCTAAAGTACAAGAAGTACGGTTTAGCGGAGGGTTTATATGCCTCTGCGGCTGAGCTAACCAAAAGGCAAGAACCACGCGTATGGCAACTGACACTGCCTCATTATCTAGTCGTGATATAGGCACGGCCTGAGCCTGGATCTGGGCCTTTATCTCTGCAAGTTGGGTCTCGATCGATGCCATATTGCGCGAGTGGGGCGATTGCGGGGTAAGCCAGAATCCAAGTGGTTTTGAGATATGAAATATTGGAGTCGGTAAGTAGTATGAAATGGTGGAGTGAAGTACTCACTCTATGGAAGGAGCCGGAGTAATGAAGAGTCGGAGGGTGTCGAGAGGCGCTAATGCGGTGGTATGGTGCACTTGACATCAACGGGATTGCTTGAAACGCTTCGGTGTTGAGCTGGTGATAGAAGACAGGTTGCTCCTGGGGTTCGAATACCTAGGCTAGGTTAGTTGAAGGGAAGTTGATGGAGCAACGTGCAGTTTTGTGAGCCGAACATGAGAAACGGGGGTTATGCTGTCTAAACCAGGCTGACCTCCCGACTCGCTGACTGACAGACACAGGGGAGGTGATCATGATCCCGGTAGGTGGAAAAAACACCAAGAAAACAGCAGGCAAGACTACGTAAATATCTCCTGGGAGGAGCAAACTTGAGGGGACCTTTTTAGGTCGACCTTTACTTCGAGGCAAGGGACACGCTGAATATTGGCGAGTTTCAGGGGATACAAAAGGCATTCTCGGTAAAAGTACAGGGATCTGGTCGCTAACTTTGTCGCCGAAAACCACCAACTTATAGCAATAGATTGCTGGTCCTGCGCGTATCTCGGGATTTAGGAAGAGAGAAGCAAACCCCTCGGACATAAAGTGGGAATGGCAATACACAGGGTTTAGGGAAACACTTTAAACAGAAAAACAGACATTTTCCACTTTCGATGCCCAAGCAATTATCGTTGTGACCGAAGCTACGTAAAACGAAGCAGACTTACCGGCACTTCAGTCCCACCGAAAGTGCGCGGCCATGCGGGAAACAAAGTTTTTGCTGTAGGTCATGTTTGCGCTTGTCTGTACACCTGCGGCATAGTAATGAGCAACTCCTCCGGCCTGAACAGGGGTTCGCTTAAATCTTCGACCACCAGGGTAGCGAAGCGAGCCAACTGAACATAGCCTTGTTTTTCAGTATCCATCCTCACAACAACCAGTCAAAACAAGTTCTCTTTCCTCAACGTGCTGCTCCGCGGCGCCACCCGTATAACTGGAACTTTAATGCATGTTTCACCACTCGCCGATGGTGAGAGTGTTGGCTTTAGGTACAAGATAATTTAAGCGAGCTACATAGTCCAACCACAACACAGTCGGTGTCAACGTAGCAGATTGGAATTAAAACTCCGGGTTCTTGTATAAAGCTTAGGGCTGATAGAGTAGAGGGTATTATATGACTTCAGATTTCACAGATACTTAGCTTTTGCGACTCGAGGCATATGAACTAACGCGTAATTTTCTACGACTTGTGAAGCTGTAATGTTACCTAGCGATCTCGGATAGTCTGGTAAGAAGGAGTGGAAATTCGGACACCCGATCCTCCGAAAGGTTGGATCATAGCTCGCATTAAATCTTGGCCTTATAGGCCCTTGAGTGAAGACGCAAAGGACGGAACGTAACCATGGAGGGGTGATGAGGGGCAAAGTCCCGATTTGGATCGCCATATGCGAAATGAGTATAAATCTACCATTTCTCTCATCAAACAAAGCTACTCCTCTTGTAGTAATTTCTGTTGAATGTGAAATGTTCGCCATGATATCCCTTCGATCTATCCTCGCAGCCCTTGCATTGTTTGGACAGTATGCCTCAGCGCAAAAATACCTCTTCGCACACGTCGTGGTCGGAAACGCAGCCGCTCACACTCAATCCACGTGGGAAGACAATATAATCCTTACAAAAAACGCAGGACTTGATTCCTCTGCGCTCAACTGTGGTTGTCCCGAATCCAATATTCTCACTCAAGTCGCCAATGCCTTTGCAGCTGCCGAAGCACTGGGCTCTAACTTCAAGCTGTTTTCCCTCTTCGACTACCTTGGTGGCGGAAAACCATTGCCTGCCACTGGTAGTAACTCCCTTGTCTCTTATCTCAATCAGTATGTCAGCAAAGCATCGTATTTCCTTTACAAGGGTGTTCCCTTTGGCTCAACATTCGAAAGAACAGTAAACATTGCCAACTGGGCTCAGGGAGGAATTATTCTCTCCGCTGTCGGCAATTTGTATTTTTTGCTCGATTAGACGAGTCTTGGCCCTTCAGGAAACAGCAACTCTTTGAACAATATCGATGGCTTTTTCAGCTGGGATATGTGGCTTGAAGGGGCTACAAACATGGCAGATAGTTCCGATCTGGGTTGGGAGTCGGCCACACCTGGTAAAACTTATGTGGTGGGTATCTCGCCTTGTTTTTTTTCACAGTGGGGGTGGGGTGGGAGTCTAGATTTGGTGTGGAGAGGGGACGACTTGTGGTGGATAGATAGGCTCAGACTTTGAAAGTCAAACCCGTTGTTGCTGATTATGTGAATCCTTTTTAATTTTAGTGATCTGGCTGACATAGACCAGAATTGTATCTTGGAATGACTTCTGCGAATCTAAAAAAACATTGAGACCATCAGAGCCTCATCTGAAATCCATGCGGGTTCAGCCATCTAGTTTGCAGGAAGTCACCACGATTCATGGTGTGACTTCTTCCCATACTACATCGCTATGTACAAAGGATTGACTTCAAATATTGCCGCAGTCCAAATAAAATACTTGCACCATACCGCTTTAACCAATGGAGGCTCTGCGTGCGGAGTAGATGGCAACAATCGGAACTACTAACCAGTAGTTTCACCGAACAATGTACTCGAAGACGGGATCTTCTTCAATGCTCTCCTCATGCCTAACGCAATCGTCGCGGCCCGAATTGGCAATTATCCTGCTGTTTCTTACTCTGGGTTGTAGGGCATCAATCATTGGAGCCATCCATTTAACGGCCGGACTGGCACGCTAGCGCTTATCATTATTAGGAACGGCGTCGTTGTTAGTGATGCTACTGTAAGTCTAATTACGGCGAGCACTACGCTTTCAAATGGATATACTAATTACAATGCTTAGGTTAGAGTTTTCGAGGTGCTAGGCACATTCTTCCCTGAATGTGTGAGTTTTGAAATCGAGGATGAAGGACTGGAGACTTACCGAGAAGTGGTCAGTCATTAGGAGTGGAAAGCTTGGCTCTGTTCATAAAAAAAGTCCCCGGTGCTTTACTCAACCACCAGTGCCATCGCATAGCCATCCCAGCCTTTACTACCCACAGTCTGAACCGCCGTAGCCTCAACCCTCTTCTCCTTCCCCATCATCTCAAACAACTTCCGTGTCCCCAAAACATCTCCAGCCGTTGAATTTGGATCGATCAACCGTCCTCTGCGTGCAATATTGTCGACCACAATGAGGGTACCGACATGGCTCATCGCCAACGCCGCAGTGAAATACCCCGGGTTGTTGTCCTTATCGGCATCAATGAACACCATATCAAAAGCCTCCGTTCCCTCTTTCTGCATCTGCGCCAAAGTCGCGAGAGCAGGGTTGACCTTGACCTCTACCACCTTTTTGAGCCCCGCATTCGAGATGTTCTCTCGAGCTACCTTCGCGTGCTCTGGCTCAACTTCGAGAGTGATGACTTTCCCTTCGGGGCCGACGGCTTTGGAAAACCAGATAGCACTGTAGCCACCTAGTGTGCCGACTTCAAGGACGCGTTTGGCTTTGATCATTTTGGCGAGGAGGTAGAGCTGTTTTCCTTGGTTGGCTGCGACGTCAATGGCGTCTAGGTTGGAGGAAGCATTGTTCTTGAGAGCGGCTTCGAGAGCTGGGTCTGTTGGGAGGAGATGGTCGCAAACATAAGCGTCAAGGGCGGTTGCCTTTTCGAGCGTGTAAGTTGCCATTTTGACGGGTTAGTTGATTTTGCAATGAGTTTGAGACACTCCCGACGTTGATATGAAGTGTGAGTGGGGTGAGAAGGAATTTTGGAAGATTTGCTGCGTTTTATAGTGAGTAGGCTGTCTTTATGAGAGCGGAGTTAATGTACGGAATTGAAGTGACTCTTCAGATTGAGTGGATTCATAGAAAGGGAAAGTAAGCACCATAATCATCAGATCTGATAAGATCAGTAGGCAAGCCACTACTCTGCTATCTTAGCCTGTAAACGAAAATTACGCGGTCGTGGACGTGAGTCACCAAACAATTGCGGAGTACGGAGTTCAAATCTCGGGCAATAGTTGCTCCAGCCAATGAAAAAGATCCTAGTGGATCGGCCGAATAGAAAGTACGAATTTTGATTAAATGCATTTCTAACAAGAGTGTTGAGCCCCCTATTCTTTCATTTGAAATTCATTACTTCTTGAGTTGTATTATGGTTGCGTACAATTGAGAAAAGGATGGCGAGTTGTCAGCGAGAGGAGTTTCTGTATTATCATACTCCTATTTGGTTGGCGTAGACGCCGCTGTATGTTCCAAAAGAGCGGGAGAACAACATTCCAAACCCCGCGAGGTAAGTCATGCCCAACACCTCCAAAGGGAGTAACTTGGCTTCCTTGATCTCTTTACTCAAAGCAACCCCATGAGCGAAAGGTAGAACCTGGTCGTCCCTTCCATGAATCATCAAAATGGGGGCTGCAATTTCACGGAGTCTTTCCTTCCGCTATCCAATAAAAGAAAGAGATCCATAGTTGGTGGATTACCAGATATCAATTGCACGATCAAAGGCTGTCTCTGATTGAATATTAGCACCTCAAGTATAGCTCTTAAATATTACTATAATTTCGCAAAAGAAGCAAGGTAGAGAGCTATACAGAGTATAGCAGGAGTTAATAGATTAATTAGGAATTTGTATAGTTAATAAGTAAAGAGCGCATATAATATATTTTAGTGTCAAGCATTAGGAAGGTGTGCCTCACTCGATTACTTGAGATGAAATGTTTTCACAGCCTCCGATTGTTCCTTTCGAGCGAAACTCCCATTCATAATCCCATGCACATAGCATTCCCCCACGAACTGATAATAATCTCCCTCTAGCGGCCGTAACACAAATGGCACACTCCCTCCTCGAAGTACACATACAATATCGCCTGGCTGCGTGTACGAAGGTCCTAGACCGATAAAGCCGCGGTCTGTGATTATGAAAGCACGTTCCGTCATCCACCGCAGCATAAGAGCCTGGTATTGCTGAGCCTGGTATCTTAATTTAGATAAAGCTCGGCCCGATCTCAGCTGCTGCTGAGTATAAGGGTTGCGGCCCATCCACGCATCGAATGCTAACTTGAAGTGTAGCGGAGCAACTACCACTTTATCGCCGACGCGCGATCTGTTTACAATCAATGTACGCCACAGAGCCTCATGCCTTCCGCCGGGATCCGCTTCGTACGGGTTGGGGCGGTATTGATTGAGAACGGACTCCCATCGTTCAGCAGTCGAGGTAATAGAATCTAGAGCTTTAGGACTCGTGAAAAGGTTTCGATCCATATAGATATAGTCTGACTTTCTGAAGAATCCAGGATCTGTGGTACGGCTTGAGTAATGGACGGTGTCGAACACCAGCCCTTGAAGGGTAAGAACTTCGAGATCCTTCAAGAACTTAGGTTTGGCGCCGTGCGATTTGGGTTCATTTTTATGGGGTTTTAACCCGCCCAGCAGTGCCCACGTGTCATAGCCTCCATCAGCCATATAGTTGTTCATCATAAGAGGAAAGCGCGGGGAAGTATCCAAGGATAGGTCTGGCACCCATGAAAGCAAGTCAACCAGCTTTTTGTCTGTTTGACCCCACTGCAGCACGGAAAGGTCGTCTTCGCTTTGGAGAAGATGAGCCGTTGTCTCCTTAAACACTTCCCGGTCCGGCTTAATTTTTTCGTCGTAATTTATCTCGAGCGCGGAAGTATCCGTGGGTGGACAGAGGCCCAACAGCGCATAAACCTTATCCCGACGTAAAGTAGAATCAAAACGAGTGGTATTAAACATCCAAAAAGACAGGGGCCCAAGTTCCACGTTATCTTTTGCCATCTGATGGTTATGCCAGTTCGCAAACATAATGTGGAATGGCATCATTGGGGGCACGAAAGTCCAGCGCAGTTGACCTGCGCCCCCAAGAATCTGACCGGCGGCTGTACGATAATAAGCCCGCAAATCTGTTTCTTTTCTGGAAAGATTGGTAAGTTGCTCAAAATCAACCTCTTTGTCACCACACTTCACAATGATATTTTTCGAGAGGAATATTTCCTGGACTACCCAGATTCGACTCCACCAAGTGCGGGCGAACAGCGCCGATAAAGCCAAGGAAGGAACGTCCTTTCCGCTAAACCTTGGATCTTTGACATTTATTGAGCCCGAATTGGCTATAAAATCCATAGCAACGTCACTATTGTCGGAGGATGGTCCAAGCCAGACGCAGGTTTTTTCGGCGCAGGCGTAGATGTGCCTCATCTGACCCACTTGGTGCCCCTTCTCCGCCAAATCTTCCTGGTTGATACAAACAGCATCGATCCAAAGAGTTAAAGACTTCTCGGGATCTCGTAAATGAAGTAGCGCGGAGGCAAGGTTCGGTGTTACCTTGCGCGGTGTACCAGTCAGGTATATAGATGTAGGTTGTGGCCGCCAATATTTCGAGAACAATGCCCACAAATACTGAAAGATCCCTCGTAGCGACCACGGAGATCCACTCAACCTAATAGGATCCCCCCAAGTTTAAGAGAGAGCAGTGTATGTTGGTTTGTCATCCAGCGATATTATCTTGAGATTGCAATGGATATCCTGAGACTTTCCAGCCGGCAACAACTCCAATACCCGAATTTCATTTCTCTCTTTGTTCAGTCGCGAATATATACTTGACAGACTCGACTTCTCGGGAAAATCCGTGCTCGAGGGCAGTTTTGACGATTTCCGATCTAGGATGTCGGACGATGTTGAGCGCCGAGAATAGTGTGCGTTGACAGCATAGCCTGTGAAGGCGATAGAAGATACGACTGCGATTCTTCTAAACATTTTCGCACTCTAACATGTCATGAAATGAGACAGAGTATCGAGAATTGAGTGCCACTACTATTGGGATTGATTTTGTTGCAATGTTTTGGAGGTTGACAACTTATTTTTTCAGCTCACGCGGGGTACAGTCGGTCCGATCCAAAAGCGACAAAACGGTCGCTCTTTTACGCCCATAATAACTTTTTAACTATAACCCTAATTAATTTATACTAAGTAATGCGATTATAGAATAGAACCAGGCGAAAAATACCTATTAATTAGATTTTTAATATAATTTGTAGTTTATTAATAATTAAGGCTTAAAGTATATGGACCTTTTTTACTTTTTTGATTTTTCCCTATATAAAACGCAAAAATATTTGCTTACTAAGGTTACGTAAGCCCGGGCTTTAGGGGGAGATCGCGGTATCTTACTAGCCTTATTATTAATATAATAATAATAATTAAGTTCTATAAGCTCAAGTAAGCCTTCCTAAATACTAAATATAGCTTTTTCTAGTACTATATATATTATATATATAATAGGTCTCTAATTATATAGGTTTTAAGCTAATTTTTGGCCGAACTAAATTCATAAACCTTACTTATTACTTAGCTACTTTCTTTCCCTTATTTTTGCATATTATCTCATTTATTTATTACTTTTTTAGATATTATTCTATGGCATTTTTGCTTCCGTATATACTAAGCAGCTTATTTAATACTTAATTCCTTCTAATATATATCTATCTAGCGGAATATATAGTTATAAAACCTCTATATAGTCTTAATTAAATAAGCTTTAAGTACCTCTACTACCTTAATCTTGGTATCTGGGAAGCTAGTCTTTTTTACTTAATAATATCGAGTTTTGCTATATCCCTAGTATATCTTAATTAGATTAATTTCGTAGTAGAACTTCGGTAAAAATATAGCCTTATATCCCTAATCTATAATAAGCTCTTTAACTTGGGACTTCTCTTTAAAGAAGTCTTGGTAATTTAATAGTATATAAGCTAAATAGTATATTTATTTAATAGCGGGAAGATATTTAAGGAATATAGTATACTTAGTACCCTTTAGATACTTAAATCTTAAGCCAGGGATATTGCAATCTTGCTTAATAAGAATCTGTTCTATGCCCTTAGGCTCTCTTTCTCTATTTGAATTAAGTTACTAAAGGACTTAAATAGTGCCTTATAATCCCGGAATTATATACTCTAATAAAAAGTATATATCCCTTTTATAGGCCTTAATATTACCCTTTTTAATTCCCCCTAATCCCTTATTTATACTAAAGGCATTTAGTATATCTTTGCTATATAAAGCATATATAGAAAACTAATTAAATATTAGAATAGCTATATAATTTAGGTACTTCTATTTAAATATATTAAGTGTCCTAGTAATCTGTACTAGTAGCTATTTTATATCCTACCAAGGGTTCCTATTTGAGCCTAAATATATAATTTGACAGGCATCCAAATTAGAATTATCCGGGATAAAAATACCTTTATTATTTAGTACCCTAATATACCTCTCAGGGCCTATAAATTCAGAATTATGAATTAGCCTTCCTTTATTCTTTCCGGGCATTTTTTGCTAATTATTTACTAGCTAGAGGCTCTTTTTATAGTCAAATCCATGGAAATAGCTCTTATTATAGAAGTATATTATATATACCTAAACTCTAATTAGAAGTAAAGATTAAATTATATACTATATACTAGCTTTATTCTCCTTATATTAAACTATATATAATAAAAGCTTCTTTATTAAAGGTAAAAATACCTCTTAATAATACTTAATTATATTAGGGTATTCGTATTTATCTATATAAAGCCCTTTCTTAGTCTCATAGTAATAAAAGCTAAGCCTAGGGAGCTATAAATAAGCTATACTACAGGTAATAGGCTTTTCTATTATTAATAATAATTAAGGTAAAATCTCCTAATTAATAATATTTAGGAAATTGTTTAGTAATATTATTCCAAGCTTTTAATTAATTAACCAAGTATAGCAGGCTAAAAAAATATTCTTATTATCCAGATAAGAAGCATTTTCTCTTTTATTATCCCTAGTTTCTTGGGGAATACTATACCACTATTAATAGTAATTAAATAGCTCCCTAATTTGCCAAGCTAGTATCTTTTTATTATTTAAGTAATAATTACTAGAAGCTACTAAGAGTAATATATTAATTCTTCCAAATTAATATTACCCTAGCTTTAGAAGCTATTAGGTATATTACCGGAGTAAGTATAAGTTAGTAATTATATATAAAGTATATAGCTCTTTGGTTTGAGCTAGCTTAATATCTATATTATTAAGGACTTCTTAGTAAGTTATTTATATATCTAGAGCTTTATTATCTCTATAGGTATTTCTAATAAGGGTATCTAAAAGTAGCTCGTTTATTCTATTATTTTTATCTTTAAGCCTTTGCTCTTCCCTTAATTATATATTTCTAGGGACATTAATTAATCTCCTAATAATATTGAATTATAGCTTCTTTTATTTAAAAGATAGTATAATTATAGGAGTCTTAAGCCTACTAGATTACTCTATAACTTGAGTATCTTTTGCCCTCTAATTATATATATGTTTTTATTAAGTTTCTTAATAGCTTTACTAATTCCTTTATTAATTTGGGAATATACGAGCCTCTAAAAGCTAGAAATAATATTAGTATACTTATATTATAATAAAATAAAATAAGAAACTTACTAGCCTACTCTATAAGTTTTTACTCTTACTATACGAATATAGGCTTCTCCAAAATAATTATCTTATTATTACTAATAATAAGCTTTTACTAAGCCCAAAAGAGAGTTAAATCTTCAAGCTCTACTTCGTTATTTTATTTAATATCTGATTTATTAAAATTATCCTCTATATTAGAGGGTTTCCCATACTATTTATTAATAGATACTTGGATTATAGCTTCTTTAGCTATAGTAAGAACTATAATTAAATCAAGAGTCAAATTAGCTCGCTTGCGTTTCTGAAGGCTTATAGAGATAGCTATTAGAAGTATATAAAAGGGGTACTAAATTGGGTTTATAGTTATTAAGATATTAATATAATTATAGAAGAGCGGTTAACTAAGGGGGGTAGTTATATAATAACTAAAGTAAAAAAATGACTATATAAAATGCAAAAATATTTGCTTGCTTGATTACGTATATTATAACTTCCTTAATAATAAAGATATTATAATTTTGAGAACATAGAATTAATTCCTATAGTATATAGTATAGTTTTAATTAATACGATTTATATTAATTAGTATTATGGTGGTTTTTATTTTTTTTTGTCGCTTTTGGATCGGACCAACTATAACCTTAAGTTCTCTAAATAGATCCAGTATATAAACTATAGTGTACTAGCGTACATTCAGTTCTAACAGATCTATTACATGGATTACTACAGTTGGGCTTTGTGCTATAAGATAACTTTAGTTAAATAAATTTAATATCTAAGAATTATATTATTATTTTCATGAACTTAGAATTAATAAAAGTATATTTGTTTACTCTAATATTAATAAAAGAAAAAGTATTAATACCTAATTTATTAAACGCCTGGACTGAGCCCACTGAGAGTGGAAAGCAGCAAGGAAGAAATTGAAGGTCGGATCCGTAAGGTTAGAATCCCACACATCCATGCCGCAGGGAGATGTGCACTTGGCTCCAGTGTATTAAAGGATTAATCACGTTAATCAAATTAATCGGTTAATTAATTGATTAATGTGATTAGATTATGATTAACGTGATTCAGATTTTTTTTGATTAGATTAGATTAATTAATCTTGATTAATCTGATTAATACTTGATTAATCACGTGATACCGGAGTTTCTTGACTTTTCTTACTTTTCTCTTTACTTTTACTTATTAATTATTAAATAACCTTATAACTAACTAATAACTCCTTTTCTATAATAATAAACCAATTATTTATAAGAGGCGCACGTGATGACGCATAGACGAGTATCAGATATCGTGGATCTAGTTTCCTATTTTGGGTAAAGCTTGTATGGGATCACATTTCCTAATTAAGTAAAGGTCTTCGTACGCTTGGCTAAGCGCTAGGGAATATATAGGGAGACGCTTCTAGCTTTGGAAAGGGGCATCGATTAGTCTTTTGTTGGAATCAACTCTTGGAAATCAGTTACACTTGCAAGCGTCACTCTAAAGCTTACTTACCTTGATTACTTGTACATCACCCTGCTATTATATGCCTCACAGCTTGGTAAGCTGCGGCCCAGGCCGCCGCTAGGTGGCCGTAGCCCTAATGCGGTAAAGCGCGCTCCCTATGCGGCTAGCGCTATCACGTGTCTAGTCACGTGCTCCATTAATCAAATTAAGCAATTAATAATCGATTAATCTGATTAGATTATGATTAGAATATGATTAATGGTAAATTTCCTTGATTAGATTAGATTAATGCCCATTAATCTAATCTAATCTAATCATTTGACACACTGCTTGGCTCGGTGCTTGACGCAGAACTGCGAGTGAAAGGCATTCAAGGACTGAGAGTTGTGGATGCAAGCGTTTTTCCTGCGCCAGTTGGTGGGCATCCCCAAGCAACGCTGTATGGGCTTGCGGAGCGCGCCGCTGCACTGATTGCTAGAAAGAAGGACGAGCTTCATATATCAGGCAATGTTTAGGCTAAGAGAAAAAACACGCTTGCCTTGCTTTGCTAGGATTGGCGTTCGGCACCAAATGGTCTTCAGGGCATGAGAGCTTTCGATGTTTGGTGTTAGGCAGACTGCCTCGCTCAATCACAACATGGGCTCAAAACACTTCAAAGATTAACACACCATTACAATGAAGCCCCTGGTATAAATATCACACTCTCGCTCTTTGGGACTGCGACCACTCCCAAACTCTAATCAAATGTAGTGGGACTTCGGACAGGGTCTAATAGACGTGGAGCGAGATGTACGTTGGTGGGTAGACCTCTACTGAAGTTGGCGCGCGTTGCGTGAAGCCCGTCCTGCAGATTGAGGGCGAGAAGGCTAAAAATGGGCTAAAACATTGGCACGAGAAGGAGCGGGATTGACCAGCCGTGGTGGCCGAGGAATTTGGGGGTTGAGGTTATGCAGGTGATTGTGTTTTGAACTTGGGTAGTGGTGATTGAAGCGACTGTAGAGGATATTATCCCACGGCCCTGAGAGGCTAGGAGATAAGGCTCGACTGCCCCCTTTATTGTATATATAGGTCTCTACTACGCTGTAGGCGTCCGGTCAATGCTTACTCAGAAGAGGTACCACGATGGAGAGCGGCAGAGTTTGTAGCCGCTGTCGCATGTATCGAAATCGCCATCTTCCTCTCGAGGGAGAATTTACCAGGACTTTGGATATAGAGGGCGTGTTGAAGGAAATAGGCTATTTGGAGCAAAGCGATCATAGGGAATCTCTAGTATCTGCCACGTCGCAGCTATTTCCAAGCCAACATTAAAGGTTGGAGCAAAGGTTGGTCAGTAGAGAGGCCTTCCACCTCGAACCACAAAACCATCCCTAGACTTTCGCAGCGTCCGAGCCATAAGAACTTTTCCAAAATACGACTAATCTCCGCCCACGACTTCGTGCCTAGGTGGCCGTTGATACCACTTAGCAGAAGCACATACCATTCTCGCAGCGGACCTTCCGTTGTTGTACTCGCACCCATGAATGTTATCCAGAGCAACAAGTCAAGTTGGTCTCGCCAATGCACTAGGAATTCCGTTCTCACCAATGTGGTCTTCAGCCGATTTCCAACTTCTAAAGTGAAATAAGGGTCAGGTGGGGTGGGTCGAAGCATCACCATACGATACGCCAAAAGCCCATAACTGAGGCATTCTTCGACCAGTAAAAGAGGAGCTGCCTCGATCGCCTCACTTGTGATCATATACTGAGACGATATCTGATCGATGTGCTGGGAAATCAAGTCGCAGTGAGTATCTGAAAATCGTAGCTCGGCGTCAGTTGTCCCTTCATATGCGAAATACATCTTGATCAGCGAGGTAGTTTGTGCATCGGCAATGAATCCCGCCATTTGACGATTGATACCAGCCGATTGGAGGATCTCGTGGAAGCCTGGCGGTAACCCAGTTGATGGGCGTCTTTCTGAGAGGTTCTCAGACAACGTTCTCAGTGGCCTCGATCCCGTAAATATCTCGCAGGCACGATCACAACTGAAGACATATCTCGTTAGCAGTGCCACATAATACGGATTTGGGGCAGGTATGTACCTCAGTGCCAGCTGTTCCAGAATTCCACCGAGGCCCAGAGTGTGGAGGCCACCTCTGATCGACACCATAGACTGGAGGCCACTCAAATGGGCCTTGAATACCTCGAGATTCCCCAGAAGAAGCTTAGAACTACATTAGACTGGATCGGTTCATAGATTGTTCTGGAGATATGAGTCAATAAAATTAAACTGACCTCCTCAACGGCAAGCATCAAAACTGCTGCAATTGTGGCATCGCTCGTCGCTTTTCCAGAAACTCCCAAGGCTTTATTGACCAACCGGATGCACTCCGCTTTATGAGTCAAAGCAGTAATACGATAGCTCGTATCGCCTGATAATTTAGCAAAGCTTTGGGCCGAGAGTAGTAAGAGACCATGGAAAACACAAGGGTCTGCGATGCTGAATGGGATATAGATCGTTTTTATTGGATCTGTAGCGTTACTTGAGTTGATGGCAAACACGTTCATCTGAGGTCCAACGACGTTCAAGACTGTGGGTCTTAGGTAAGCCAGTGATATAATTTAGACTCATAAGTATTGTGACTTCATCAACGAGAATCAGAATATATATGAAATGAGATCCAAGGAGATCGGTTCTTACAATGATCTATCAGGATGTTCATGCGAGGTGTGACGTGCAATGAGCAACTAGAAAATGGATCAATTCCCTGTGGCCCTACCACAGTGACCAAACTTCCAGTTGGCTGTCGGAACTTCTGCTGAGAGCATCCCTGTACCTCCAACGCCGTGTTGGCATGACCTGTAACGTTTCCACTTCTACCCCCTATAACCGTAAGTCACGATCCATGAAAACTAATACATTTTAAGTGACAGAGTTCGAGAGGTTCTCCCAAGCGAATCTCCAACAGCATTTTCAGCATTCGGAGCCGGGGATTGAGATTGGTTCCTACCTTGTAATTCTTCCTCATCTTCCCAAGCTTGTTGCCTTACAACGTGAAATTGACGAGCAACATGCGACCGGACAGCCTTTCGTGTCCGGGGATCTTTATCCTGTTCTGGATTCGTGGTCGTTATGAAACGCAGCTGTGGCGTTGCCTTTGCCAGCTTGTCACGAGAGCGCTTCCCCTTCCTTGCTTGAGGGCTGATTTCCGGTTTGGGAACTACTTGCTGAATTAGGCCAAGGGCTTTTCTGAGCCTTATCGTATCTGAATCGTTCCTACCATTCTTTGCATGTTCGATTCCGTGCTCGTTGTTTTGGTCTTCATCGAAGCAGGGTTGGCTGTTCCCGTCAGCCATTGATAGCAGTTGAACGCCGAGTCCGACCTTCACATCATGACCAAATCGGGAAATGGAGAGCGCATGCTGCTCCTGCCGGCTTCATCTGATGGGTAACGTGCCCAGGAATTGATGGTCAACTGGGAGTGAGGTGTGAAAATGGTAGGGGAATTTTCTGCATTCCTCGCAGCTGAGTCAGCCGCCGCACTTCATTGGCCACGGAGGTTCCGGCATAAAGTACGAAGGTAGCTTCGAAAAAGATCAATCACTGGGACCGCTTAACTTTAGGCGTAAACCCACCTAGGTTACAGCGCCCGAGCGCTGTATCCAAGATGTCCGCAGGGCTCATTACAGGGCTCGTTAACCGAACGCACCGCCACAGGGTCTTACAGACTCTGTGACCTATTCTCTTTACTTTATGCCGGAACCTCCTTACCGCAAACATTGTCTCCCTACTGCGCTCACATCCTGGGAACATTCCCTTTGCGGACCTTTCGAATCGCTAATGCGCAAGCCCTGCCTGAAGACCAGCAAATCAATCTCCGAGTGTACGATTATCACAGTATCACCAAAGGAAATTTCCTGTCTTGCAAAAACTTGGGGGCCACGAACTATCTATGTGAGGACTGTATATAGTGGCTGCATCCTTCTCGAGTACCAAGCAACGCAACTTGAAGTCCTGCTTAAGTAGGCCCATATCATCCACGGGAATTGGTCTGTGGCAATGGCAAGCTCTAATGTTTAGGGAAGACCTTGGACCGATCTACAGTACTATTTTTCAGCTAGCTGTTCGGGGGGAATGCTTTTGGGAGTTTCTGCATGTGCTGGAACCGGATACCCTGATAGCTCCGCTGTTAGGCCTTCGGAGTGCATCGCTAAAATTATCCTCACATCCTTTCAGCACCGGGTCTCTAGGAACCCAAATATTATGGAGGCTAATGCATGTTGCCCACTGAAGGAGAGTTCAATACCAAGTCCAAAAACGAATAATACGGTGAGCGGGCCGAATGCAATGATTGGAGTTGCAACTGCCCATTGTGAGATGTCTCTGGACATGGATGACTTAGTTACGATGAAGTCAACGTGATACAGTAGCCACCAACTGTACCCACAACAGTAATCCGCGCCTCAAATGGTAGGATATTGGTTTAGAATGAAAGTTGTAGTTGAAACGTGACCAATTAAGATCGGATGGCTTCCCTCACCGTCCATGCAGTCCCTGCAGTCCCAGCCGCAGTGTGGCAGGGGCCCTTGCATTTTCTAGATCCGGTTTAGTTCAATATGGGGAACCTATCGCGTGCCGCTTCAGTTATCACGTCTCCCACTGTGTTGTTAGTCGCCGATGTCGATATCTGTACTCGTTGCTAATATTGCCACCGTGCATGGATTCTTGCTGATTTCCTGTGATCATGAATCGTGTCTGCTGGTATAAAAAGGACTGCAAGTCCTCGCGCATCCTGAATCTTAAGTCAACTTCAAATACTTAGCTATTTCACCAGCCTTCAAATCCGTTTTAACAGCATCGTGAGTCTCACTTCCTCTTGGACATTTGCCCTCTCATCTGACATCTTGCTTCGCCCAGCATACCATCTGCAACCTTTTTTCCTCAACAAGACTTCCTAATACCACGTCAACTATGGCTTCAAAACCAAGCATCGTTCTTGTCCATGGACTCTGGATGACCCCCCTTTGCTGGGAAGACTGGGTCACCCACTTCAAAGCTGCAGGCTACACTGTGCTCGCACCAGGCTGGCCCGGCATCGACTCCCGCACACCCGAAGAGATCCGCCGCGACCCTAGCGCACTCGCCGACCTCACCATCCGTCAGATCGTCGACCACTACGCCTCCATCATCGAAGCTCTTCCGACACCGCCTATCATTATGGGCCATTCCTTCGGCGGCCTCTTCACGCAGATCCTGCTCTCGCGCGGCCTCGGCGCTGCGGGTGTGGGCATTTGTCCAGGCCAGCCCTCTGGTGTGATCGCCCTAAAGCCATCGACTATCAAATCCGGCTTCGGCGTCCTGGGGCATCCGTCGACGTACAAAGCCGCGGTACCTATCACCGAAAGCCAGTTCCACTACGCGTTTGGGAACCACCTGAGCGAGGCGGAGTCGAAGGTTTTGTGGGAGAAGTACTCAATCCCTTCAGCTGGGCACATCTTGTGGCAGGGTTTGGAGGGTGCGTTCACTTCGACGGGTAATACCAAGTCAGATGGGCATGTGGATTTTGCGAAGAGGGATAGGGTGCCGCTGTTGCTAATTGGGGGTACCAAGGATCATGTCGTGCCGGTAGAGGTGGTAGAGGCAGAACTGAAGCATTACAAAGGCCCCGCGGTAGTCGAGATGAAGATTTTTGAGGGGAGGAGTCATGGAATTGTAAACCAGGATGGGTGGGAGGAGGTTGCTGATTTCTCTCTGAAATGGGTCGAGGAACGTATTGCGAAGTGATTTAACGTGACAGACTTTTTTGTTTTGCTACGTTCTTTTTGGTCTTTAAAGTCCATAGTGTCCTAACTTGATGTAATGGTCTTTTTTTGTTTTCAAATTTATTATTGGCTTTAAGTATATGTATTCTATCCGTTGCTCTGCGACCAGCTTTGCACTGGACAGTGCTGGGGCAGGATTTTAGGAGGTGAAGGGTCAAAACCCAAAAAACCGAAAAACCAAAACACCAAAAAACCCAAACCACTTGAAATTAGACGTGCAACTATACTAAAATTAAGTTGAGGCCTGTAACTACTATAGCCAGTATATAAAATTAGGTATTATATTAAGATAGGCTAATTATTATTATTGCAGTGAGCTCTCCCCCAGGCAGCTGCCAGGGAGCTGCCCCCAAAGGAGCTCACCCCCAGAGAGCTCTTTATATATTATAGGGAGCCATTAGTTAGAGAGCTATTATTTGGGAGGTTCCTTAGAATATATAGAGGCTCTCTAGAGAGTATTTCCCTAGGAGAGAGTACCCTAGTTGAAGTTTGTGTGGGGATGGGGAGGGAGGCGTGGCTGGGAAGGGAGAAAGAGAAGAAAAGAGGTGAGGGAATGGGTGGCTGATAGGTAATAGATGAACCCGAAATTATCCTCTAAAATGTGCTGCGGATCGTTTGAGACTATACGTAGCTAGTATTAAGGGGTTAAAGCAGTCTTCTCTATAAAGAGTATTATACTAGAGCCGTCACATGGCAAATATAATTTATTTATCTTTCACGACACTTTACATAAATATTTTATTTGTTTATTTGCCCCTTTACTATAATTGTAATTGATAGGTACTATAGTCAAAAGCGATCTCCCTTGGAGTGATTAAACGGCGTCATATTTATGTTCTTATTTTATTAGCATGATTAAAATAATCATTCGCTTCATTTATATTATTAAAAGTAAGATTTTGACTTGTCAATGCAAAGTTTTAGTTACGCGCGGTGGGCTAGTGTGGCAAAAAGTTCACGTGATATTAAAAATCCAATGGCACATGATTTGTAAAAAATTAAAAAACTAGCAGATACTTAAGGGGGGTTGGGGGGTCTCCCCCTAAGACTAAACACTCCTCTTATCTTCTTCTATTTCCTCCTTTTCTTGGGGGGGGGGGTCCCGGTACTGCCCAATATTGCAATATATTCTCTTAATGAGAGAAAATCTGGCTTTTACTCTTCGCATTTGCACTTGCTTATGCGGCCCCTTGCATTTAAGAACTGCTTGACGAGACCAGTCACGTGCCGGGCTAAGTATCCCGTGCATCGAGTTTTAAGACATTTGCTTACCGCTTTCTTTTTATATAACATTACCCTTTCCGTATTAAAAGTGACTTAGCAAGAACTTCTCGGCCTCTAGAACAACCGAATAGGATGTCGTTGAACTGTGACGCCAAATTAACCTTACCATTCGCGTGTAATTTTACGGGATCCAAAAATGGCTCTCAAGCAGTCCTCGCGTTATGTTCTATTTTTAGCTGAGCAGTCGAAACGAGTCCCACCCTCGCGGGCCTAAGCTTTAGATCTCGGCCAAAACGCACAGGGAAACGAAAACAGCCCCGTGAAGTACAAGAAGACTTACCTGTCAGCGTGTTGTGAATGTATAGTAGTGACAGCTTCTAGATAGAGGTACCTTTCAGACAGCTTGTTACAAACTAACGACTTCTAGTGAGAAGTGCCTAAAATTACGCCGCGCCGTAAACAGGGTGAGCCATGCTGAGCAGCCTCGAGCTGAACTTGAGCCAGACCTGAGTCAACTTGAGCAAGGGGGGTCTATTAAGCTCGAGTGCTGGGAACTATAGTGAAGTCCGATGGTAGAAGCAAGTTTATACACGGCGGTTTATTGAGCATTGAGAGCAACGGAAGCAAGTCATCTTGGCCGTTCGAGAAGAGCTCAAAGATATAAAAATCAAATCTCAAATCAAAATCAACCTGTAACAACCCTAGGATAAGCCCCTCTTCCGTTCGTGGTAAATGAGTACCTGAAAAACTCCGAATCGGCCATGCCTAGCATTTTAAAGCGATTTGTAGTTTAGTTAAGTTCAAGGGTAATAATAGTTCTGAGAGATACACCTACTCGTAATCTGGCTAATAACTCAATTTATAATTCCTATTATAGTTCAATGCAGGTCTATAAAAGGTGAAGCCGTTCACAATTCCAGAATAGCTGTCTTTATTTATAGGCGTAGTATAGACAGCCATATTATTAACCGCAATTTTAGTCGATATATAATAACCATTTAACTATATACTACTTCTAGTAAAAATATAAGTGAGAGTAAGTTAAATAAGGCTAAGACTTGAACTAGCTTAGAAGATATTTATAACATTTATTATTTTGGTTTTGAGTAAGATAAAAATATAGAAATATTAAATAAAAAGAGAATTCGAAAGATTTGAGGAAAGATTTATTCTTATATTTCTTATTTATAAATATTAAATTTTGTTTTATTATTATAAATAATATAAATAAATAATATAAATAAATAATATAAATAAATAATATAAATAAATAATATAAATAAATAATATAAATAAATAATATAAATAAATAATATAAATAATATAAATAAATAATATAAATACTTTTTATTAAATGCGATTTATAGTTATAAGAACATTTATTATCTCTCATGGCAATGCCATTTTTAGAACCCCCGATATTGGTCTCTTTCTGAAAGTCGGGGCTAATTTCTGCTCATTACAAGTGTACCCAAAATACCCAAAACATTGGGCCTTCATTTCAAGCGACCCTCAACATCCTTGGACGTATCCACGCTCAAGCTTTGGAGTTCTCAGTGTGTCAAAAAATAATCAAGGCTAATTAATTAGAATTAGTTAGAATTGATTATAATTAAGTATGATTTGATTAGCTTGATTTTTATTATAATTAATTATAATTAACTATAATCATCACGTGATAATACAAAAGTATACTATCTTAGGCATTTTTAAAGATTATTAAATAACTAGTAGCTATAGTAACAAGATATAAATAAAATCTATAAAGCATATATAAGAGTATAAAATTAGTCTAAATCTAAAATAATAAACTAGTTTTTATTACGTGGTACCAGTCACGTGGTGTTATTACACGTGACTTAGCATGTGGCCAGTGCTTCCTTAGCCTGGCAAATAGCTCAATTCAAGCTCTTTACTACTACTATAACATTAATTTATCTTGATAGTTTTCTTCTTTAGAAATCTCTTTCTCTTTTCCCTTCTTATTTTCTTATTTCTTCTTCTTTAATTACTCTAAGGGTTTATTTATAGCTCTTTTATTAGTGGCAAGGAATCACTGGAAAACAAGGAGGTTCTAGCGCCTTTGGCTTCGCTTACTAATTAGCGCTAGGCCTGGTTTAGTAAAGAGCGCCTTTAGTAATACCGAATATGGCTAGCCCAGACCTTATTTTAGCCTTATCTCGGCTTCCGAAGCTCCAGAGTCATGTGTGTAATCACGTGATAAATCTAATTAATTATCTTTGATTATCTTTGATTATAATTAAGTATGATTTGATTAGCTTGATTTTGACTTGATTTGATTTGAGTAGGGGGGTCTAATCAAATCAAACCTAATCATTTGACACACTGGGAGTTCTGCTTCATCTCTTGAAGTGCATCCAGAACTAATCGGAGATCCCATCCTTCCCTCAAGCCTCTCATCAAGAGTTCCTGCTCACACTCCGGCGCCATCCCACCAGGAGCTGGCGGTCGCCGGTCTAAGTTTGTTGGGAACGGATAGCCTTCAGCGACAGCAGCAACATAAGCTTTAACTCCCGCACTCTCACCCTCTCTCGCAAATCTCCCCTTGAGAAGGTCCCACGTTGCTTCAATCAACGGAAGCGCATCTATTGATTCCATCGGTTTTCCGAAGGCACTACTGACTTGAAGTAGGTTCGCCGTTCGCTGAACATCTTCCGTGACATTCTCACCTGCAGCATGAAACAAAGCAGGATTGAAAAACAGACCATCGCCAGTCGATAACGGTAAGCTGACATAATTTTCTAGGAAATATGCCTTGAACTGAGGGAGGCGGTACGCCATGTACCCTTCATCAAAACGTTGGCTGAAAGGAAGGAGCCTGGTCGGCCCGCTCTCAACAGGCATTTCGCTGTGCACCACTGCTCCTTGGAGCGTAAGCAGCTGGCTCGCAATTTGTATAGCGATTGGGAACTTTTCGCACGCTTCGGCGGTCTGGAAGCCCAGGTGATAATCTCGATGGCTAACTTGAGCAGCACCTCCGGGCTTAACCACATTTACTTGGCTGGTGATGCGGTACCCAGGTCCCAACCAAGCCTCGCAGATAAGAGATAACCATGGATTTGAGTAATACTCTACAAATGACTCGGGTTCGGATAAGCAGTGCTTACTGAAAGAGTTCCAGATTCTATCGTTGGCGGAACTGCTTGAGAAATGGTCGCCTTTGCGAGCTGCTTGCTTTTCGGACTCGATTATCCCACCATATACAGAGTTCGCTTTCTCAATGAGTTGTTTGTCTGGATACATATTCTTCAGGGCGACGACCCCGGGGCCGGCAAGAAGAATGTGGTGCCACTCGGCCTGTAAGCGTGCGTGCAGGCCTTTGTCACCGGTATCAATTTGAGCAAGATTGTAAATTGGAACATTTGATAAGACCTGGGAGGAAAGCGGGTAATCCTGTTGAAATGCTTCCTGAGAACATAACTTCTTGAAAGCTGACAGTGATGGCTCGGATCCTATTGAGAAGACTCGAGAAGGAATGTTGGAGGACGAGTGGGTCGCCATCCTGCCTGAGCAATGCGACTGGAGGAAGATGGAGCAATGTGAAACCCAGAGTTGACAGCTTAAATTTGCTGGTCCTAGAGCTCGATTTCCTCGCAGATCGTAAATGAGCGTTCCGGGTAGATGATGGGGCATTCGCCGCATAAACGAAATAGGCAATTTTCGCCTGTAATATTCCTAGCAGAATCGGAAGAAGTACTTCAAATGCATCAAACAATGATTATATCTATCACTAAATCTAGTTAAATATGGAAGGACAAAAGGTACAGATAAATTTATAAGACTGCTCTTGGCCGATTTTATTAGTAGAAAACGGTGGGATTTGAAGTGTTCCTAGTGAGAATTGCACATAGCCGAAAATTTCCTAATCAGTCTTTTCATATTCAAAACCACCAAGTCGGAATTGATTTCCGAGCGACCAGTCACGCGGAACACGAGTGAGTAGAACTTTCAAATCCGTGAGACCCACATTCTCTGCTGATCGAGAATCAGTGTCAGATCTGGGAAGTTCGGGATTCGTTTTCCAAGCTGTATAGAGAGAACATTTTTAGAGACAACGTGTACGGAGTTTGTCCGATTGATATATGACCCACGCAGGGTATAATTAATCAATAAGTAAATTTCGCAAACTCTTCCCGGTGTCCTGCTTGGCCATCTTCAAGAGAGAACAGCGCCAGCCTTTGGTTTCGCTCGGGAGGCCACCCTTCACAGATAGTCTCGACATCTTCCCGTGTCGAACAAGTACTAGCATGTTGCACATACAGCTCGTAGTCTTCGTAGTGCAGTAAATAGGCTTTTGTGGCCAACATCCCAGAAGAGTCTAGCCCGCCAACCCCCGTGCGCCAAAGAGTAGGTAATTTGCTGTAGTCTCAGTTGCCAGCAGTGTTTCCAGAGCGACCATTCGGCACGAGTTGAGTAGTATAGCTAATTGCAGGAACTTTCGAAGCTGCGTACGTTTACAATAGTCCAGGTCCTCATTTCCCGCCAAGGTTACCGGGGATTCGAAATACACTTTTTTACCGATGAGACAATCGACGATTCTGCCACGAAGTGAAATCGTTGACTGTGTAGCGTGATCTGTATTGAAGGGGTTCCAGCCTGCCATGAGTCGTGATGAGCCGCCCCTAGTATCTATAGTAATCGTGCTTATGCCTAGCGCATTGCCCAGCCTATTTACCTATGGCTCTACCAAGACTATAATAGTAGGAATTATAGGAAATACCTCTAGCATGTTTAGCACTGCCGCTGGCAGCTGCCCCCGGCTCAGGGTATAAGAGCCGTTTGGGACTACCTTTCCTTAAAATGCGGCTATAGCCCTTCTCTTACTATTATTCCTTTTCCTCTATTTCTATTATCCCACCTCTCTTACATTCTCTTCATACTCTGCTACTATAAATAAGCTATTATATGCTCGCTTTTAGAGGGTTTACTGCTATTATCTCTTTTATTTTATTCTAAGTAGCTCGGATTGCTTCTATTACCTTATAATAGCTATGTTAAAGAAATAAAGATTTTAGTTCAGAAACCTTAAAGTAAAGAAAGTAAAAGAAAATAAGGTTATTAAAGCATATATTTAGAAGCTATTAAATAATACTTCGAATATTAGAAACAAGAATAAAGTATTTAGTAATAGAATTATAAATAAATAAAAAGAAAATCTAGAGTTTTAAAGGTTTCCAAAATAAATTAGTAATTAATAGCTATAATTTATAATTATTATAATATTCTTAAAATAAACTCGAATAATATTTGGCTTAATTTTTACCTTAATAATAATTATACTAAAGCTAAGTATACGGATTTTTAAAGGCTTATATAATAAACTTTAAGAAGTTTATTTTTAGCTTTAAATTAGAAAAGGCTATTAAAATATAAAAAGTCAATTTAATTAATACTTTACTTTTTATTTAAGAAAGTATTATTATAAAAGCAAATACTAGTATTTTTAAATTAAAAATTAAAAAGATTCTTTAAATAAGTATATTTAAAGATTAAAATAAAAAAATTATAATAACTAAATGAATTAAAAACTCATTTTTTAAATTTTAAAATAAAATAAACCTATATTATATAATTCCTTTTTTTCTTTTTTTTCCTCTTATTTTTCCTCTTATTTTTTTTAATTAAATTTTTTTTATATCTTTTCTTTTTAATCTTTTAATAATATTAGTATAACTAGTATTTCGGAAGTTATTGTAATGGGCACACGTGATGGCGCATGGACAGGTGTCAGATGTCGTGGATCTAGTTTCCTATTTTAGGTAAAGCTTGCGATCGGAATCATACGGGCGATCGGAATCGTACGGATCGCATGGGATCGTGTTTCCTAGTTAAGTAAAGTGCTTCGCAGGCTTGGCTAAGCACTAGGGAACATATAGGGAGACGCTCCTAGCTTTGGAAAGGGGCATCAATTAGTCTTTTGTTGGGATCAATTCTTGGAATCAGTTACACTTGCAAGCGTCACTCTGCAGCTTATTTACCTTGACTACTTGTGCATCACCCTGCTATTACGTGCCTCACAGTTATATAATATAATTATAGAACTCGAAGGTAATAAGATATAAATAACGAGACATAAGTAACAGAATACAGATATATAACCCCGCGTTATATAAGTAACTTAATTAGTAAACTAGTTCTAATTAGGTTTAGTAAATTTAGGGATGCCAGCTATTACGCTAGGTTAGCAAAACTTAGGCAATCTCAAGTTCGGATCGTTACCAATCTGCCGTGAGGAAAAAATCGATCTGATCTGGCTCCGCGTACTTGGAAAGAGATTTGGAGATGAGATCTGAAAGTGCAACTGTGTGGTTTGTAATCAGGGTATCAAAGTCGATCCACCAGATCCAGTCATGGCTTCCAGCTGCCATAACCTCCTCCAGCATCACGAACTTGTGCCACATAATATCTCTCGATTCATTCGTTTCGTAGTCGACGATGAAATCATAACCCCCTGTTTTCTGGCATACCCTGAAATAGGATTAGCAAGAGGGGATCGCTTCTCAGGTGAAAATGGCCGGACTAACTGTGCTTGTTCTTCAATGAGAGATGGGTGTATGAAGTCTCACTTGTCGTGAACGTGACAATAGCGATTTGCATCACTTTGTTCGATAACTCGGGCACAGGTTCGCCATCGAGCTGCGCACTAATGCACCCCTGGCGATTGGACCCCTCACCACAGAAGCAACGGAATGCAAGAATAAAGAGCGAGAACCCAATATTAAATAAAGCTGGTCTTCTTATAAACCGTGTGTTCTTGCGTACTGACATTGCCGTCTTCGAGTACTCAGTCAAGATCTCCGAGAACTATGCGGATACGGCGGTTCTCTAGTTAAGAGCAAAACCAGCAGCAGAGAAGCAAGAATCAAGAACTAAGAAATGGACTAGAAAACGTAAGATTACTTGTGTCATAACGAGTAGAAAAAGAAGAGGTTCATATATGCAGTTAGGAGACCAGTGAACAGGAAATTCTAATAACAGTTTACTTCTCCTGTACACGACAAAGGAGAAATCTTGAGGTGCTACAACACACAGACCACAATTATGCTACCTCAGCGATGTAGGGATGCTTATCTCTACCCCGCTCCTCGCCAGTGCGGGTCACCACGCCCCACTGATACGGAAAGCCATAAGGATCAATCGTCCAAGCGAACTTTTCGAATCCGGTTTTCGACTTTTGATGTACGAACTGGCTCGTGCTCACCCCACTAAAAATTCGCCTATATACCACGCCCCTCTTTCTGTGCCTCTACCTATTATTACTACTTAAAATATTACTCTTCTCTTTAATTCTTATTTATATATATATGAGAGAGGGGTGAGGGTGAGGGGTAGGTGGGGGGGGGGGTGAGGGCAAGTGAAAAGTGAAAAGTGAAAAGCGAAAAGCGAAAAGCGAAAAGCGAGAGCGAGCTTCAAGGCATGCGACTCGTGAGGAAAAGGAAGCCCTATAATTATAGGCTACTTATCGCTAAATTTTAGGGCCACAATCACTAAATTATAGGCTATAGGTACTAAAAATTTAGTGCTTTGCGACGTAAATTTTTAGTAAGGTCCCCTTGCCTTGCCCTCCCTACTAAAACATGTTTTTCACAAATCACGATTTTACCACCTATCGACTATGCCACAATCTCTTATTTAAACCATTATTCCTCTTATAAAAAGAAGGGGGAATACGAGGCAGTAAATTTAAGCTATAGCGCATGTATTCTAATTGCGTCGTTATAAATTTATTTACAAAACTATTAAAATGTGCTCTTCTTGCCGCATTTCTTGAATTTTTGGTGTGTTTTTCTAGTAATTCGCCGACCACGCTACGATCCCTCATTTAAATTATAAGCCCACTTATGTAATGGACAGGGGGCAGCTTGCAATTAATTTAAGCCTAGGTGCACTTACCCTACAAGCGTGGTTATAAAGTTATTAATAAAAAGGCTCTTTTTTGAATTAAAGTCAGAAAAATCGAGAGGCGAGAAGCAGCGGGGGATGCGAGGTCTAAAAACTAGTTTTACAAATAACTTTATAACCACGCTTCTAGGGTAAGAGCACCTGGGCTTAAATTAATCGCAAGCTGCCCCCCGTCCATTACATAAGTGGGCTTATAATTTAAATAAGAGATCGTGGCGTAGTCGATAGGTAAAAATCGTGGTTCTGCAAAATCTCGTTTTACTAAAGTTCGCTTAAAAATGCGGCTGGAACTGTTGTTTCGCTTGCGGCTGTATTACGGCGTAGGGCTTACATGATGGCAGGGGCTGGGACGAACTGCAGGAGCTCACCGAGCTGTCAGTAATGGACATGGAAGTGCGAGACGATAAGGCAAAAGTGATCGGCATGGATTATCCGTTGCTCTCAACGAGGGACGGGACGAGGAGACAGGGGGTTAGTTAAGGTTCTCGCAACCCCTGCCAAACTCAAAAAATGGCAGGGGGTCAGCGTACCAAGTAGAGCACCAGCATGTGGTCACTGGCGATGCGAGCTGGTGCGTGGAAATGTTGTCGACATCTCGAAGACAACTTCCCCCAAATATTTTTTAAATTGCCGCAAAAATTCAAAATCTTCACACAGTTTCCGTTATGGACTATAAGTTTGACCCTGACGCTGAAAATCTCCTTTCAGATAGAGAAGAGTCTACCAACCGACGACAAGATGCAGTTTATTGCTTGTCAAGGTTGCATGTCATCGGTCTAAGCATATCCATCGGGATATTGTTTCTTCTTCAGATATTGACCCTCGGATTTTCGATTGGAAATAGTATTGCAACTTCCAGTTCTGGGGAATACAAAGTATGGAAAGACTGCGGAAACAGCGCTTCAGAAGCTCGGGAACGTGGCTGCGTGTTTGATGTCATGATGACTGGTTGGGTCAAAGAAGACTGCTATAATAAAGCATTATCCGAAGAATACTTATTGGAGGGAGCCTTTCGATTCTTTTCAGATCCAGAAGCCACGAACGAAATTCCATTGGACGTTATACGCTTTGGAGAGCACACACACATGTATACCAACGACCTTCACCACAGAGCTCACTGCGTGTATGTCTGGAAGTTGCAAGCTCTCGCCCTCGAGTCGCAAGCCCAAGGCAAAGTAAAACTGATCGACAGTGAGTCGTACACTTACGATCACACGGTACACTGCGCCCGTATTCTCGTCAACAGCATACCATCACCGCCATATTCTATGAACTATGGTGAAGTCGACTTTTTGAGCTGCGGTCCATATCTATTATGATGTAAGTCCAGCTTCTGTAGCTGAGAGTACTCTACTTATTACATTAGGAAGCTGCTATATGTCTGAGCTGGGAAAGGCCTCCTGCTCTCTGTTTCATACTATGAGGAAACTGTGAGCCCTGGGTTAACGTCTGAAAACTGGACCTCTATGATGTGGAGTGTGATGCGGGGCCAGCTTATTGAGTTAATCGAGATTCTTGGGAGCCGAATGCAGCTAGAGGCTAGATGATGTTGCTGCGGGGTTTTAGGCTGGAACGGGTCTGTTTTGATACGTTACTTGAACAAGGGTTCCAGGCCTGTAATTCAATGCTTTGACCTTTGCACATCGAGATACGACCTTACTCCTACAGCGTTCGTAAACTTCACTCCCCTCTACTCTCCACGAGCACCCAAGTATCGGCCTCAGTTGTGCGCTGCTGACGAATGCGTGGCATGTAGGGTCTTATAACAGCGGGCCAAACGCGGGAGAGGCTTTCGCGGCGTTGAATGAATATTAGCGTCGGCTGTCATCGAATTGTCAAGGGTAGTTTTTCCGGTAGTTGTTCACCGATTGAACAAAGGGTGCTAACGAGCCTGCCGACAAAAGTCTGTGGTTTTAGCGTATTTCGCTAACAAAACAGCCCTGAAAAGAATTTCAATAATTATAATTTATATCGCAATTTTGTAGACTAAGTTCTTCAAACTAAATATACCTTCTTTTACTTACTATTTTCGAGTTTTGAGACAGTATTGTTTATAGTTATCTAAATATCGTGGAGTGAAGTTAATGACTTTGGTTTGGCGAGGCCTGAAAATATCGCTAAAACCACGTTAGCAGGCTCGTAAGTAAGCTTCCGTTAACTTTATAACCGAACCCCCTATTAAAAGCACGACCTACCAAAAGCACGTTTTATACAAAAATAGTTTAATTAATTAAAAAATAACTACTTTATAAAATAGTTCGATCTTTTAAATATATGTTTTTTTTTTAATTATACAGAATATACTTTTTATTATTTGGGTTATATATAATAAATATTAATATAATTTTTATATTATATATTATTATAAAGTAAAAAAATTATAAATTTACTATTTTATAATATTAAATCTTTAAATTTTAACTTTAAATAAAAAAGTATTTATAAGATATAAGAAGAATATATAAAGTTATATATAATATTTTAAATATAAAAATCTTAATTACTAAAGCTTTATATAAATAAATATAATAAATAAATATTATTAATTATTTAATATTAGATTAATATATATAAGAGTTTCTTTATTATTATAAGATATTTATTATTATAAGATATTTATTATTATAAGATATTTATTATTATAAGATATTTATTATTATAAGATATTTATTATTAATATTTATTATTATAAGATATTTATTATTATAAGATATTTATTATTATAAGATATTTATTATTATAAGATATTTATTATTATAAGATATTTATTAATAAATAATAAAACAATAAAATAAATTAGTAAATTATAAAACTATAATATTAGATTTGGTATAAAACTAATTTCTATTTCTTTTATAAAATCTAGGGAAGCCTTTTTTAATAGAAGGCCCTAATAATATATATATATATATATATATATATATTTAGTAATTTATAAGCTTAAAGCCTATAATATAAATAGTAATAGAATTATAATATTAAAGGGCTATTAATTTCTTGAATTAATACTTGTAATATTCGAAGTTTATTATATGCCTTTTAATTACATATAATCTTATATATATTATAATTACTTTTACTTAATTATATCTTAAGTCTATATTATTTTTATTAAAATCTTATAAATTAATAATACGGATATTATTTAAAGAATATTTAAATAAAAGTTATTATTAATAAAGTTAATATTATTAATTTTTTATAAAATATTAAAATAAAATATATAAAGAGTTTTTAATAAAGATTTAGTAATTAATAAAATTCTAATATATAATATTAGTAATAAAAATTATAATTTTTATTATATATATTTTATTAACTTTTATTTTATAAAAGATAAAAAAATTATTATTCTTATAAAAAATTAAGCTTAAACTTATTTTTTTTTTTGAAAATAATAGGTCTTAATAAATTATTTTTATATATTTCAAGTTATTATAATAAATAAAGTATAACTTATATAATTTTAATAATATTTTATATATATAATATTTTATATATATAATATTTTATATATATAATATTTTATATATATAATATTTTATATATTTAATATTAAAATATAATAAATTAAGTAAAATATATATCTTTTAAACTACTTCATTATTATATTATTTACTTATTTTATTATATATATATATATAGAGTACATACATAAAATATTATATAAATCGGATTTATAGTTATTTAATTATTAAGAAATAAAATATTCGCTAAATCGTGCTTTTAGTGGGGTCGTGCTTTTGGTAGGGAGTTCGGTTACGAGGTTCTGCGCTGCTTTCTATCGCTGCAGAATACAAGCGTGGTTGTACAATCGATTGGGGTCAGGGGGGCAGAAGGAACGAAGAAGGAAAGAGCAGAGAAACAATTCCCGAATGACAAGGAGTTAAATGGCACAGATATGCTAATTGCCGAGAGTCTGTGGCAGCAGTAAATCATAATGGCACTTCTTACAGGTAGAGTGCGCAATGCCTAGTATTGCTGACGTTACGAAGGCCGACGGCATTAAAAATCGTCTAAATGCTAAGCGAGAGCCTTGAAAATCATTCAAAACCGTCCCTATAATTTTAAAGTCACCAAAATACAAATGAAGGATATTTGAGCTTCTTTTCTATCCTGTCAAGCTTGAACTAAAGCATACGAATTTGGTGGCGTTGTGACGCACAAATTTCAAAACTAAGAGATTTTGGTGTTCCTTGCACTAGCGAATATGGACGATTTTTAATGCCGTCGGCCTTCGTAAAGCCGGTATAAAACGCTGGAAGTAGCGCACATTCTCGTATGCCTGTCGGAACTTGGTGCAAGTCTTTCCCTCATGGCTCATCCTTTACTCGTCATCACCTTCACATTGCATATAAATCTCGTCTCAATGTTCCACAGCGGCAAAGGAAAGGAGTGAAATCATTAGCTCGGAATCGCAGAGCGATGTAAAAAAGCTATTTTGTGGGGTAGGCAAACAGCCTGGTTGGCCAGAATTTGGCTTTCCTTTAACGAACCAAACATGAGTAAGCTCATTTTTACTTCTCGAGCCTGTGTTGTTGCATGTAATGACTTTGTATGCATTGAAGAAGCTCGCAGCCTTCACGGGTGCTGGACTTGTCGAGTCAGGAGAAAAAAATGCGACGAACTCCATCCCCTCTGCTCTAATTGCACGGGTCTCAACCTGAGCTGTGATGGGTATGGACCACGACCAGCATGGCTGGATGGTGGTGTGTTAGAGAAATCCCAAGCTGTGAGGATCAAGCGCATCGTTAAGCAGACAATTAAAAGGCGTTCTCGCAACCTATCAGGGCCCGTTCCTTTCCCAGAAATCTCAACCCTTCCGACGGCTCTCCCAACATCATCAGTATCTTCAGAAGAAGACTCTACGTCAGAAAGTGTCGTGTGTAGTACTACTAGTGGGATTGATATTCCTATGTCTTGGGATCCTTCATATAGTTACTTTTTGTCTGGATTCAACCACGAGATACTCGGTTCTAATGACACGAAATTTGATTTCTCTACAATTATCAGCACTCCCATAGGTGAATCTTCTATTAGCTACGGGGAAACAGTATTTCTGCATACCCACATCCAAACTATTGTGAAGTAATCGATTTATTGATGGAAAATCGATATATTGAAGGTTGACAGACTGCAGAATGACTAGATACAGAAGAGTGGGTTGTGGAAACAGAGGAAAAGTGTCCAAAGTAAGGGATTTATTCCCATTACCCTTTGGCGATACCGGTGATACCGAGCCCGCTTTCTCCGATGTATTATTAATTAGCTGATAAATCAAAGGTAATCAAAATGACGATATACTAATAAGCTTGGTAAGCTCGGCGAGTGACGCATGACAAATGAGAGTGGAGAACCCTGAATTAGTGGTTGAACCTGGTGCTGGAAGGACTGGTAAGCTAGCTATGGTAGCGTACCAATTTCAACACAAACTCGAGATGTATCTGTACCACAAAACGCATCATTCGAGCTACAACCAATCAGCTCACCCTCAACTCTCGAACCAATATCTCATTTGCAATTGCTTCCGGGACCTGCGAATACATGTTTAGATACGGGATCAATATGTCTCGTTGGATTTGAAACATCAATTGACGATGGAGCGTTAAAAACCACACAAAGAAGTCTCGATGTTTCAATATCCGCCTTCAGCAACAATCAAGTGAGCAAGGCTTCCCATGAGAAACCTTCTCTAGCAGTGAATACTTGCAAGGCTAATGAGCTTGTTTCTTGGACTGCACCCGGGGACAAGCCAGACGCCTGTCGGAGTTTTTGTCGGAATGAAGCTGCATTACTTATGCATTACTTGGACCAAGCATTCTACAGTCGGTCCGATCCAAAAGCGACAAAAAAAAATAAAAACCACCACAATACTAATTAATATAAATCGTATTAATTAAAACTATACTATATACTATAGGAATTAATTCTATGTTCTCAAAATTATAATATCTTTATTATTAAGAAAGTTATAATATACGTAATTAAGCGAGTAAATATTTTTGCATTTTATATAGTCGTTTTTTTACTTTGGTTATCACGTGACTGCCCCCCTTAGTTAACCGCTCTTCTATAATTATATTAATATCTTAATAACCACAAACCTAATTCAGTGCCCCTTTTATATACTTCTAATAGCTACCTCTATAAGCCTTTAGAAACGCAAGCGAGCTAATTTGACTCTTAATTTAATTATAGTTCTTACTATAGCTAAAGAAGCTATAATCCAAGTATCTATTAACGAACGATATGGGAAATCCTCTAATATAGAAAATGATTCTAATAAATCAGATATTAAATAAAATAATAAAGTAAAGCTTAAAGATTTAACTCTCTTTTGGGCTTAGCGAAAGCTTATTATTAGTAATAATAAGATAATTATTTTAGAGAAGCCTATATTCATATAGCAAGAGTAAAGACTTATAGAGCAGGCTAGTAAGTTTCTTATCTTATTTTATTATAATATAAGTATACTAATATTATTTCTAGCTTCCAGAGGCTTATATATTCCCAAATTAATAAAGGAATTAGTAAAGCTATTAAGAACTTAATAAAAATATATATATAATTAGAGGGCAAAAGATACTTAAGTTATAGAATAATCTAGTAGGCTTAAGACTCCTATAATTATACTATCTTTTAAATAAAAGAAGCTATAATTCGATATTATTAGGAGATTAATTAATATCTCTAGGAATATATAATTAAGGAAAAAGTAAAGGCTTAAAGATAAAGATAATGAAATAAACGAGCTATTTTTGGATGCCCTTATTAGAAACGCTTGCAGAGATAATAAAGCTCTAGATATATAAATAACTTACTAAGAAGTTCTTAATAATATAGATATTAAGCTAGCTTAAACCAAAGAGCTATATATTCTATATATAATTACTGACTTATACTTACTCCGGTAATATACCTAATAGCTTCTAAAGCTAGGGTAATATTAACTTGAAAGGATTAATATATTACTCTTAGTAGCTTCTAGTAATTACTACTTAAATAATAGAAAGATACTAGCTTAGCGAATTAGGGAGCTATTTAATTACTATTAATAGTAGTATGGTATTTCCCAAGAAACTAGGGGTAGTAAAAGAGAAAGTATCTCTTATCTAAATAATAAGGATATTTTTTTAGCCTACTATACTTAGTTAATTAATTAAGAGCTTGGAATAATATTACTAAACAATTTCCTAAATACTATTAATTAGGAGATTTTACCTTAATTATTATTAATAATAGAAAAGCCTATTACCTATAGTATAGCTTACTTATAGCTCCCTAGGCTCGGCTTTTATTACTATGAGACTAAGAAAGGGCTTTATATAAATAGATACGAATGCCCTAATATAATTGAGTATTATTAAGAGATATTTTTACCCTTAATAAAGGAGCTTTTATTATATATAGTTTAATACGAGGAGGATAAAGCTAGTATATGGCATATGATTTAATCTTTATTTCTAATTAGAGTTCAGGTATATATAATATACTTCTATAATAAGAGCTATTTCTATGGATTTGACTATAAAAAGAGCCTCTGGCTAGTAGATAATTAGCAAAAAATGCCCGGAAAGAGTAAAGAGAGGCTAATTTATAATTCTGAATTTATAAGCCCTAAGGGGCGTATTAGGGTACTAAATAATAAAGGCATTTTTATCCCGGATAATCCTAATTTGGATATCCATTAAATTATATATCCAGGCTTAAATAGGGACCCCTAGTAAAATACAAAATAGCTACTAGTATAGATTACTAGGATACTTGATATATTTAAATAGAAATACCTAAACTATATAGCTATTCTAATATTTAATTAGTTTTCTATATATGCTTTATATAGTAAAGATATACTAAATGCCTTTAGTATAAATAAGGAATTAGAGAAAGTTAAAAAGAATAATATTAAGGCCTATAGAAGAAATATATACTTTTTACTAGAGTATATAATTCCGGGATTATAGGATACTATTTAAGTTCTTTAGTAACTTAATTTAAATAGAGAAAGAGAGCCTAAGGGCATAGAACAGATTCTTATTAAGCAAGATTGCAATATCCCTGGCTTAAGATTTAAGTATCTAAAGGGTACTAAGTATACTATATTCCTTAAATATCTTCCTGCTATTAAATAAATATACTATTTAGCTTATATACTATTAAATTACTAAGACTTCTTTAAAGAGAAGTCCCAAGTTAAAGAGCTTATTATAGATTAGGGATATAAGGCTATATTTTTACCGAAGTTCTACTACGAAATTAATCTAATTAAGATATACTAGGGATATAGCAAAACTCGATATTATTAAGTAAAGAAGACTAGCTTTCCAGATACTAAGATTAAGATAATAGAGGCATTTGAAGCTTATTTAATTAAGACTATATGGAGGTTTTATAACCATACGTTCTACTAGATAGATATATATCGGAAGGAATTAAGTATTAAATAAGCTACTTAGTATATACGGAAGCAAAAATGCCATAGAATAATATCTAAAAAGGTAATAAATAAATGGAATAATATGCAAAAGTAAGGGAAAGAAGATAGCTAAGTAATAAATAAGGTTTATAGATTTAGTTCGGCCAAAAATTAGCTTAAAACCTATATAATTAGGGACCTACTATATATATAATATATATAGTACTAAAAAAAGCTATATTTAGTATTTAGGAAGGCTTACTTGAGCTTATAGAACTTAATTATTATTATTATATTAATAATAAGGCTAGTAAGATACTATAATCTCTCCCTAAAGCCCGGGCTTATATAATCTTAGTAAGTAAATATTTTTGCGTTTTATATAGGGAAAAATCAAAAAAGTAAAAAGGGTCCGTATACTTTAAGCCTCGATTATTAATAAACTATAAATTATATTAAAAATCTAATTAATAGGTATTTTTTGCCTGGTTCTATTCTATAATTATATTACTTAGTATAAATTAATTAGGGTTATGGTTAAAAAGTTATTATGGGCGTAAAAGAGCGACCGTTTTGTCGCTTTTGGATCGGACCGACTGTATACTCAATTTCCCTTTCATAATTCCTCTGCCAATGGCACGGGCCGCGGCTGGTTATTAACACTTCTAACCGGGGACGAAACGATCTATTTTGCAACACTTGCTTTCAGCCAGTACCATCGTGACTCAAAATTCTCGAGGAAAAGACCATCGCTATTCGAGAATCTTCGTCCTTCAGAAAGAGTTGACTACTATATCTTTGCCTTGAAGGAACTCCAACTGCGTCTAGGTGAAGCTCACACGTGGATCGGGTCTGAAGGCATGCTTCGCAGTATCAAAGCTCTTGCATGTATCCTACAATTTGTCTTCTTGGAGGTAATTTCAACTACAATCATCACATTTCCATTATAAGAGCTAAAACTGACCATAATACAGGTTTTCAGTAGTAATTCGTCTAGTGATTGGTCTGTTCATCTGCGGGCAGCCACTGCTTTGCTGCCCCCCTTAGTACAGACCAGAGTCAGATTCTCAGATCCAAGCCTTCGAGACTTCGAAGATTAAGAACTAAAAGACATATACTTTCTTTCCCCCGAGGATCATTTTGCAATAGAGTTGCTTCTCGGTGCCTTCCTGTGGCTAGACATCCTGGCACATGTTTCTACGAGAGCCAAGCTTTCCTCACAATTCAATCATGAGGTTCTACTTGAAAGAGGCAATATCCAGTTAGAGAGACTATTCGGTTGCAAAAACTGGGCCATGCTTCTAATCTTCAAGGTCTCCCAACTGGATAATTGGAAAAGAGAATGTGAGGAGAACCGAAAACTGAACGTCGCCGAGCTTGTCAGGCAGGGGGTGAAGATTGAGGCAGCCTTGAATCAGGGGCTTGCTGGCATTTTGTCCCAAAATACAAGTCAGATGCGAACCTCCTCAAATTTTACACCAGAAGACCAATGCTCGGCGATCACTGAAGTCTTTGCTCTTGCTGCGTTGACGTATCTTCATGTAGTGGTTTCTGGCGCTCACCCAGATCAACCGGAGATCAATGACAGTGTTGCAAGAGCAATGGATGCCTTGGGAGCTTTGAGAGACCGGAAACTACTAGCTAGAGTTGTATGGCCAGCTTGTGTCACCGGATGCATGGTCTCGGAAGACAAGCAGAATACCTTTCGAGATCTTGTGGCTGTAGAGTGTTTCGCACAAGGAGTTCTCGGGACTTTACCACAAGCCCATGAAATTGTAGAGCATTGCTGGAAGGAACGAGAGGCTGGTGCAGGAAATTGTGAATGGTTTTCTGCGGTGAAGAGTATTGGACTGCATCTTCCTCTGGTTTAAGTATAAACCAAGAATACTATCTATTAGCGCTAAAATTCACATACTTGGGTCATGCAATTCCAACTAAACATGCATGACTGCTGTCAAGCAGCCTGAAATGTGAGATCTCAAAAATAGGCTGCGTGTATAAAGGAGGGGCCCATCCTACCCTATTGCGGCTAGCCTGTATGCGATCGATAATCTATAAGAAACTGACTTCGTTCCCGAAGTGTCTCGCATCGTCCAACAACTCCAATTCACGATTAACAATTCTGCGCCTCTGTGAAATACCACCTTCATTTTCTATATCACTATGGCCATCAGTAACAAAACCACGGCGATCTTATCATCAGGCTTCGAGATGCCTGCCATTGGCCTTGGAACATCTGTGAACCATTCCCAGTCAAGTGTTCATCTTCAATTTCCTGAAGCCAATCCAGTTCTCCACCACAGCTCTAGCTCCAGATCCAAACGAAGTTGAGAATACAGTGAAAATAGCGCTTCAAATTGGGTATCGTCACATCGATTGCGCTCCGGTGTATCAGAACGAAGTTGCTGTCGGTCGAGGAATCAAAGCATCTGGCATTCCACGGAAGGAACTATTCGTAAGAACTATTTTGGGATGCTCCGCTTACTTAGATAACTAAATAGCATTTGGCTGGATAGATCACGAGCAAACTCTGGAATACAGAACATGATCCAAAGGACGTAGGACCAGCTCTTGAACAAACGTTGAAAGACCTTGGAACGGATTATGTGGATCTTTATTTGGTAGATTACTGCTTCATCGAGTTGCCCATGATAAAGCATTTCTCTGACCTCTGGGGAAAATAGATCCACTGGCCGCAGTCATATGAAAAGCAAACCCCTTATACACTCTTTCCGGAGGATGGAATCGGAAACCCGCTCGTAACAAATGTGCCTATTGCGTCAACATGGCAAGCAATGGAAGCACTTGTCGCGGCAGGAAAAGCAAAAAGTATCGGCGTCAGTAATTTCAGTCAGGCACAACTCGAGGAGCTAATTACCACGTAACTGCCCTTTCGTTTTCATTTCAAGTACTCAGATCCAGAGGTTAAAATGCTTGATAGTGCAAAAATACCTCCCGCTGTGAATCAAATACCAGCAACCCCATACCGCCCGAAGAAGGAGAGGCTGGATTGGTGTCTCTCCAAAGTAAGTGTATAGTTCTCCTTTCTTACTTGGCTTGTCTAACGTTTAGAAGAACATTCATGTCACAGCCTGGGGTCCCCTCACCATCGATAGGGCCACACAATTGAACGTCACAAGTGACCCTGTTGCTCAGAAGATCGCGCAACGTATCAATATCACGCCAGCACAGCTTATATTGAGCTGGACTATCCAAAGAGGTACTAGCGTGATACCCAAGAGCTCGAACGAGGAGAGACTACGGTCGAATTTTGAAGGTGTGTGACGCTTGGTGAAATTCACCCTTAGAATGCCCCTCGTTACTAAAGATTTGCTGTTTTATAGTTATTGAACTTTCACCCGAAGTTTTGGAGCAAGTTGATGAACTAGAGATAGTGGTATAATTGGACAACAGTTGATTGTGGCAAGCCAAATTCTTCGAGCTTTATGTCGGAACAGGGAGATCTCTTTTTTTGCCTAGGGTAGTTTCTCTGCCATTTGTTATCCTAAGATTATTATTAGATCATACCTTCATCTCACTTTGTGCTATCCTACTCACAGCGATTCTGTGGGCAGCCACAGTGGTACCCGGCGATCCTGTGGCCTTTCGGCAACGGTGTTTTTTTTGGAAACGGGTGGTCGAGACGTATAGTAAAATGAAGACAGAACGACATCTCTTCTAGATTATTAAACAGACCAAAATATCTGACTTATCTTTACAACATACAACTTATGTGAATGTTGGGTGACTTGGTATTTTCGATGAACGGATGGAACCAAGTCTATTTATAAACATTGAGAACGGATCCTACGGTTCGTCCATGCGATTCATGATAAATCAGGCAGGAACCTCTATTTATACTTAATTTCACAGCATAAATTTCAATCTCCCCCAAAAGTACAAAACAGATGTTCAAGCTTGCGGGGTATTGCAGCATTCTTTTTAAGAGCGAAGCCTAGAAACATATCTTAAAATCTTTAGAAAGTGGATTTACTAAATTGATCTGGTCTTTTGGCACCAAGGATACAGGGCATCCAATTGAAATGAATCTTCTGAAAAACGAAGATCCGATCCATTTTCATGAACCGGATCCAAAAAATAGTGAGACGATCTGTCTATCCATCGAGAGCACTGGTGAAATGGCCAATCATTACTGATTCGGTTTACATTCGGGGTAGTGCGAGGCGGGGCGAGGCGAGGCGAGGCGTTTGTCCGTAAGTGGCAGTGCGAGACGATGTACAGTAGTATCGCTTAACACGCTACGCTGCAAGAGGCCGAAGCCCCTGAAGTACAGGGTAGCGACCGTTTTCTGTACTATAGCTTGACTTTTGGTCTGTGCTGAAACATTCTGCCATCTGGGTAGGCGCTGGTTTTCCCTTCAACTCAGTCATTGTTCGAACATTTGACGTCTTGGTAGGAAATTATTTTCCTTTCTATTCAGTTTAGTCATCCATAGTGAGTATATAATGTACAAATAACAAAGTAGAGCAGTTTGGTTAATATGCAGCTCGAATAGGTAGCTCAGAAATGGACGAATCCACCACCGGCCTACTCCAGTATTCCTCCGAGGCGGAGAATCGCCGTTCATCACGATCCGTTTCAACCGATAGCACGCGAACACACCTGGAACATTTACTGAAAGAACGGCTCCAAGAAAAATTAAGAAGGATTCCATGGTGGAAAATCTACTTGGTTGTCACGGCTCTTGTCTTGCTGGGAATGATCGGCTGGGTAGTACTTGTATTCCACCATCCCACCGAACTTATAAACTCCGCCTCAGTTCCATGGAAGCATTGCGGGAATTCGCCTGTGGAAGCCCTACAAAACGACTGCGTCTATGATTTCATAGCCGGCGCCTTCGTTCCCAACGCCTGTTTCGATGCCGAACTCGAAGACGAGTTTTTGAAACTGAAGGATTGGCACTTTTACGGGGATGAAAACGCACAGCAGGAGCTTTCTATCGAGAGTATTAAATCAAATGGGGGTACTGAGCCTATGTTTGTTTCTGTGGAGTATCACTGGATACATTGCACGTATACATGGAGGAAGCTGCATCGGTCGCGGGTTTTCGGGACACCGATCGATGATCATATTGGGAATTACTCACATACGGCACATTGCGGGGAGGGGCTTGTTTCGCAGTGTGATGTGAATGATACGAGACCTATTATTGCCTTTTTGCATCACTACACATCTTGTTTGGCGTAGGGTCAGGGGAGTATTGGTTTACGTGTTGGGATCCTGGACGAAGAGAAGAGATGGCTAACCTTGGATTTCACTTGGATTCCACCAGCGATAATTGAAGGGAGAAGCATCCCAGAGGCTGCGAGCTTGGGTACAGCTGGTGTTTCCATACTTAGAAATGGGCATCTTTCCGGCTTTGTAGATCTCCGCTGGTGCCATGTCAGAGAAGTATATCTTGAAGGATACGGGGTGTCATATTTGTACATAAGAAGGGAGTGTAGTCTAAATGATATAACACAGAATTTATTACTACAAACTTTGAGGCTCAAAGTGAAGAAAAGGAACGTTGACGTGTCTTTGTAGATACTAAATCAAATGTTGAAAGGTTATATAATAAGGAGATTTTATTAATTAATTAATTACTATTCTATAATAATAAGTAGCCTATATTTATAAGTACTTATAAGTCCTTTGAGCTCCCAATTACAGCCTATTCTATAGGCTACAAAATAGACTATAGTAGCTGCCTATATTACTATTTATAGGCTCTAGTATTTACTTATAAGTTATATTATAAGCTTTAGAAATATTAAAGCCCTTATAGCCTATAGTTCTTAAGTACTTATAAGTTTAATAAATAAGTTATAAGAAATATATTATATAAATATTAAATTAAAGTTATAATTCCATATATTAATTCTTATTTAATAAATATAATAAGAAAAATAATAGTTACTTTTCTATTATAAAATATATTATTAAAATACCTAATATAATAAAGAAAATTTCCTTTAACTTTAAACTTCTCTTAAATAATAATTTAAATATATATTAATTATTAATTACTTTTTAGCTTATTTATTTTAATAATAAGTACCTTTATTTAATTTAAGTCTATAAACTTAATTTTAAATTATTTCTAAATTATTAAAGTTATAATTTAGGCTAATATAAGAAATTTAATAGAAGTAAAAGAAAATAATCAAAATAAATAATTAAATTACTTATAAACTTATTTTATTAATATTAAAAATTAAGGAAAATAATACTTTTAATAAATAAATTAAATAGCTTTAATTACTAAAATATATTAATTTATAGTTTTAAAGCTATTATAATATAAATTTAAACTAGTTTAATATATTTGCTTATTAATATATTTCTAAAAATAATACTATTTAAAAAAAAGAGTTTTATATTTTTATATATTTATTTTCTCATTTATTAAATAATATATAATTAAAGTAATTATTATATAATTATTAGTTTACTAGTAATATATGGCACTATTATATAGGCGTGGAAATGCTAGTTGCATTAGTTAGTAAAGTTATTATTATTCCGAAGTAGGGATCATAGTATTATAGTATTAATATATAATCCCTAAATCTGCTAAGCCTAAAGGGGTCTAGTCTACTAGTCGAGTCACTAATAGAATGCGAGGTCACATAACCATATCCCGTATCCCATATCCTATTACCTATATCCTGTAACTATACACGTAACTCCCAAAGAAATAGCTATACTAATACTGGAAATTCTCTAAAAATGCGAAAAATAGTATCTCCTTCTAATTATATACAAATTCCCTAATCCGGCCCAGTACCAGATTTCCCAAACGCTCTATATATCTATATTACTTCCGAGGTTTTAATTATATACCAAAGGCCATAGCCTTTTATATATAACTTCCCCTCTTATACTATTCTCCTATCCCATATATCTATTTCCTGCCCTATTTATACTCGACTTATTCCTCTATATCTAATTATATAGTATTCATATTAATTAGGTACTTGAAGGCATTTATTAGCTTCGATTTCGTTATGAAATCGGCAGGATTTAATTCTCTCTTAATTCATTTGACTTCTATAATCTCTTATTATTTATATACCTGGTAGAGGCATATTACATTAATTATTAGATGCTTTTCTCGAGTAGTTCCCAATTTAATAAGGCATTTGTATAATGACTTCGAATCCGTATAGACTACTAGTAGTAGTTCTATTTCTAGTACTCTATTAATTATAGATTTAACTAAAGTACCTATATTAAAGCCGTAAGCCATATTATAGAGTTCTGAAGCTAGAATACTTCTAGTAACTCTCTTATATTTAGTAGAGAACTAGTAAATAATATTAGTATATCTAGTTCTATTTACTAGAACTAGAATATATCCGATTTAGGAGAAGAGATCTCTATTATTTATAAATAAAGCATCGTAAAAACGATTAAATATAAGGACTTCTTTACTAGCTTTATAAATCTTAGTTCTCTAATAGTATTCTCAATTTACTATTAAATATACTTATTAAGTATCTTTATATTAGTTTCCGAGGATTTAATAGCTTAAGCGGCAATTAATAGGTTATATAAAGCTTCTGGTTAATAAACTAATATAATATATACTCCTCTAGTATATTAGGTAATATATTAGTCCTTAATAGAGAGATCTTAATAAATAGTACTTCTATTACTTATAGTAGTAATATTCTTTATAGAAACGGTTCGGAGGTTTTTATACTAGTATTCCTATATAAGGATAATTCTAGTAGTATTTATATAAATAATACCTCTATTAAACTTGAGATTATAGTTAATAGTAAGGCATTTATATTTCTTGGCCAAGAACTTAGCCTTTTAAAGCTTTAGTTATTCTATTTTTACAAAATTATTATTTCTGATAAATAGGATATTATTAGTTTAAAGGCCAATAATTCCGAAGGGTTACTTACTATAAAGGAGGCAAGGGTTATAAGTTAACTATTTTATAGAAAGCTCATTAATATAATAGGAATAGTAAGTTTTAAACTAATAGTTCCCAGCTTCCGGTATATTATATAGTAGTTTTATAACCTTTAGAACCGAATTATTATTCAGATTTAGCTTTCTAGTAAGCTTATAAGGTGAGTTAATATAAAAATTGCAGTTAAATAAGGTTATTAATTAGATATAAGCTTATAAGATATTATATAAATATAACTCTATAGTATCTATTATTATAGTAGTAATATTAAGGATAATTCTCTGGCTAATATATTAAATAGTAGGCAATTATATTAATACCATATATTTTTTACTATTATTATAAGCCTAGATAATTAGTCTCGACTTCTTAAACTCTCTCTTTATACCCTTATTCTTAATCTTATTAATAAACCGGGAGTTAAAGATATATATTTTTTTTAGTATCTGAGATCTGGAAGTAATCTTAAATATGCCCTTTTCTAGGAGGCTAGTAACTTTAACTTAATAGGAGTCCTTATATAGGTTATTATCTTATAGGAATACCGCAATATCCGGGTTCTTATAAGGGCATTCTCTGCCGCACTTTAGTAGAATAGCAGGAATAGCAGGAGAAATCATACCTGTATTACTTTTAGCCTTACTATAGAGTTCGGGAACAGGTTTAGGTTCGGGGCTATTAGTAATAACCTTAATATTCCCTATATAAAAGGGCTTTATAGAGATTAAACAGAAGATAGTATTACCGTATAATAGAGCTAGTATATAGTTCTCCCCGTTAATAGCTACTAGCTTATATAGCCTATTCTAACTGCCAGGTTAACCGGTATTTCCTTTATACTATATAAGAATATCCGAATTCAAGGGAAGTTTATAGATATTAGTAGTACTAGAACTATTTCGGGTATTTAGGGTATTTATAATCTGGTATCTAGCTTAAAGCTTTTGAATTTCTACTATTACTTTCTTGAGTACTACTAATTACTATAATATAGTTAGTAATAGGGTATTATATTCGGTTATTCGGAATAAAGTACTATAAATTAAAAGGGTTAGGATAATACCATTGGGTCTAGTAGAATTATTAATAGCCTTAAAAGCCATTTAGAGTATAATATCCTTATTAATTCTATTAATTTCGGCCATAATAATAAGATAAGTATATTAAATCGGGCTATAGTAGTATTCTATAATTCTAACGGAACTATAAGCTTTTACGGAAACGATTTTAATCTTGGTTCCTATAGTATTTACAAGCTAAGTAAACTTCTTACTAATAAACTGCTTTCCGGTATCTGCTATAATCTAATTGGGAGGGCCTAAATAAGTATTAATCTAATACTACTTTAAGGCATCCCAAGTATATAATATACTAATATTTTGAAGCTATTAGCCGGCTTAATATCTAGTACCTTTATTAATAATATAGAATATAAGCTTACCGGAAATATAAAAAATATTAATAATAATAAAGTAATTAAAGCTAATATTATCTCTTAGGTTAAACTTAAATTATTCCGGTAATTATCCGAATTTCTAGTATTACTTATAGTACTTTATAAGGTACTTAAGGGCTTTTATATTAATATTATAGCCTGCTCGTTCTAGTATATTTCAAAGCTTACTAATAGATAGATAACCAAAATAGTAGTATAGATATTATAATTTAATTTCTATAAAAAAGCAGGAGTTATAAGTAAAGAATTCGGAAATAAAGCTTTATAGAATAGTATTCCAAAGCAGGAAAGAGTATCTAAAACATTATACTATAGGTATAAAGCATTTATTAGAAGTAATAAGATAATTAGTAAGATTATTAAAATAGACTTCTAGCTTATTTATATTAGCCAAGCTAAGTAAAAATAGAGTCTTTATAGGTATAATATAGAATTATACTTGCCTAATTAGTATTCTTACTATTATAGATCTAATAGAGGATATAGATCTAATACTAAACTAGATATTAACTTGATCTTTAGTAGTTTTATTAAGTTAGATATTACTATTAGTTTATTATAAAGCTTGGAATTAGTTAGAACTAGTAGTTAAGAATCTAGAGGCTCCGGTATTAATTATAACTCTATAAAAGCAGTAAGTATTATATCTTAATATATTATTAATTATAAATATCTGGGTATTTTTTATTTATTTAATAGGTTCTAAGATATAGTTTTTGCCTATTATCTGGTATATAAGAAAAAGAGAAATAAGGTTATCTATAAGGATATTAGTTATAGGAATAGTAGAAATAGAGGCTATAGGAGTGGCTAGAAAGCTCTTAACGGAAATAAAATAGGAATTAGAGTAATATTTCTTTCCTTTATCTATTTCCGCTAGTAAGGTTTCAAAAGTATTACTTACTAGTTTGTCCTTACTATTCTCATTATCCTCTTTTCCTTTAAATTCGGTAATATACTATATATAAGTATTACTAAAGTATTTATTAAAGTTATA